ACCGAATATTCGAGGAATGTTATGATACACAATGTCCTTTGAATACTCCTACAGATAAAAATCTGAAGTGCCTAGATTCATAAAACTTTGGGGTGCAATCATGCACAAACAGTCCAAGTGTTAACGAAATTAAATAATTTACTCCTTCGTTTTCACGGAAGTAATTGAGAAATTTATGGGTTCCATTTTTTTGCGGTCACCCTGCATTTAATTAGTGAGGATTTATAAATCAACCAATTAATCCACAGTCAGTGAAACTAAAATTACTTTTCCAGCAGGATTCAGTGGCGTTTCTAGAAACGTCATCGTGATTATTTGTTAACAAAAGCAGTACAGATTTCAATCCTTATTTAATATTGTTACATGCAAAATTGGTTATTATAGGCCTACTACTACCTATAGGCTCGATTATAAAACAAAATTTATTCTAGCCTATCAATTCTTACTTCTGAACAATCACTATAAAGTATTTTCAAAAACTGTATGCCTCAAACACTATAGTCTTTTCATCCATATCGTTAAATCGTACATCTTCGTATCTAACTGTGCATGTAACATTTATTTTAGCCATTGCCTTCACTGTAGATTGGATAAATGTCAAAATAAATTAACTCAATTTTGAAACCCTCTGTGCTCAAATTACGTTTCAAAAATGACATATGTTGTAATGGTGGATCTAGAAATTGATTACAGATCGTCATTCTTATTCATGCCCGAAGTACCCGATAATTGTTGCAAATCGATTTCAAAATCGTTCCTAATCCTGCTATTGTATAAGGTATAATCGTGTTTCCAATTCCACGAGTAATCCTAATGGCGCCGTACACGGCTTTTGTCAGAATTGTGTCCGAGCATTAATTATACATTTCACAAAGCCACCAAAGGCGGATAAGTATTTTGCCAAAAACTGATTTGATTGGGAATATAATATTTATTGTAGGTATAAATTTTGGCATTTGTGTATCCATATGGATCACATTGTTCAACGCAGTTACATATCTCGTCCAAGAAATTTTTTTTAAATCATATAGATAGAGGTATTAACGTAACGTTTTAATGCAGTAATAAATTTTGGCATTCCATAACATTTTGTGTATCCATATAGATCATTTTGTTTAGCGCAAATCTCGTCCAAAAGAATTTAATATTTATATAAATAGAGGTATTGACGTAACACATACTAAGTATTTCCGCACGATATTATATATATTTAATAACATTGTGGCAATAGTAATTATGGTCATAGTGTAGGATTTTTAATGAAACACAGTAATCAACGGCGCTCCAGAAGTACTCGTATGTGTACCAATATGGAGGTAATTAATTTTGACGGCTACCGTACTTTACATCAAGTTGTGTGAAGGGACGGAAGCCTATGGGCAGGGGGTATATTCACTTGGCTAACACAAACAGCCCACAAACTCTTGAAAAAACTAAAATAAGGGAAATCGGAACAAAAATATGTCTTAACCCTAACCTGATACACATACTACGGGAGTACCGACTTGACTATTTTAAAATCAGGTTGTAGTACTTACAAGTCCTGACTAGTCTGATTGAATTTTGTTAATAATTTTTAGTTAATCTGCCGAATTCTTTCACAATTTATTTTCAATTTATTTTCTTTCAGCGAAACGAATGTCAGAGATACTGTTGATTTACCCGACCTGTTTTTTTTAATTGAATTGAATTGAATTGGCGATACCAGAGGCTTTCAACAGACACCTGAAATGTCACCTTGTCCCTTGCCACTGACAAACTGCTGCCCAAGTTACGACTGTGGGAATCGAACCGTGATGTTGAAGCAATTCCGCCTTACAATGGCGGGAAGTGGAGAAGAAATGGATAGCGGGAATTTTTGAACTCGAAACTTTCCTGCCAAAATCCAATGATGTTTATACTGCATTGTGAGGTAACTTTATGGAAGAAGAATTCCAGGCAGGAGGATTTGAGGAGTTGGAAGGTTTTGTAGGACATCCACTATGGCAGATGATTCAATACAATTGACTGGAGTATAAGCAGCATTTGGAGATCAGAATTTCAACAAGGCCATTGTCATTCAGGAGAACCCTAATTGTGAAGTACCGACAATAAAATTACTGAAGTTCCTAACAGCGTCTATCATTATCGACGTGAAGGCGGCTGAAGCCTCACTTCGCTGAGTATAAAAGATAAATTTGAAGTATAGGATTCTAGAGGAATCTATACGTGCATATGTAAGACAAAATATTCAGTCAATCATCACTCTCCATTTGAAGTCTACATTCAAAACATCATATACCTATTACCAGTTTTGTTGAGGCTCGAGTCACCAAAAACTCAAAGTGATTCGAATCATCTAATACAGTGGTCGGCAACCTTTTTTAAGTGACGGACCGGAATATCCTGATCAATTTTTTGGCGGAACCCCTTTATACAAATGGACTAAGTCTATGTAATAAAGTACGTGTTTCGTACATCCAGTCTATTTATATATTTCGTTTTTGTAGTTGTCAATATTGAAAACCCGACCTCAAATAGATATGATTCCGTGGAAGGCAACAGCTTCTGAATCTATAGCTGGGCATTGATTGATGTTCGTTTAGCAATAACTAATGCGTTGTGTTTGTCTGGTTTGTTGTTTGGTGCTGTTTTTAGTCATAGGGTTTGTGGTTGGATTGTAGAGGTGTTATCAGGCCCCTCTCTGTTTTCGTGTCACCTTTCTGCGGACCGGTAGTAACCTTTCCACGGACCGGCGATGGGCCGCGTCCCGGTGGTTGACTACCACTGATGTAATATACAATAGTCAATTTTGTTTTGTCGTTTCAAGATACAACGTTCAGCTTGATTGAGGTCAGAATATTCAAGTTAACAAATTGAATGAGATATAAAAAATTGGCAATTTCATTGAGAGTGCGCCCGAAGAGTCGAGTTTATTGGCAGCGGTTGAATTTTTGTATGCGTGTGTGCAATTATCTGCGTATTCAGTATTCATGCAATGATCTTATTACCAAATAGTCGATTACGAGCTAATTTGAAAATTTTAGTCGATCGCGGTCGAAAGCAGATTGGCCACCCCTGAATTCTAAATGAAATGACTCGGACACGCACTAAACTAACCAGGCTAGTGCGACCTGAATTTGTACTTTGCCCAATTCGCGACTTGGACGATCCATGTCTCGGGGTTTAGGGACTCTTACTAGTAACTAGACACTGTCAAATACAACAGATATCTGCCCAAGGCGTAAATATGAAGTATATATAGGCGTTTTACGCTCCAAATCCATTTATACTGAAATGAGTAAAGTAAGATGAGACGTAAGATTCGGCAAATCCATCACAAAAGTCGCAGTTTTATTGTTGACACTTTGAAACCACTTTTAAGTGGCGTTAACGCAGCTGGTCACATCAAGCATTCAATTGCTAAGACCTAAGATCTTGATTTTGTTCACATTTTCCTGAAAATATTGAGTCATTATGAACACGGTTAACAAGTATAGGCCTGAAGTGCTTCTACGTATGACTTTTGAGCATGCAATATGAACATTCGTTGTCCAAATATTTGTTAGTTAATTATCATTGTATCTCTATGCTAATTTCATCGCACGAGTCCCTTGAGTTTGCGGTGTATTAGAATACAACATGGATGGAAATATTTCGTGGTTAAACGTATAACACGCTATTTTGGTGTAAGTAGTATACAAACCACGTAATATCGCACCAAGGAATGTGAATTGAAGCCGGACGTTTATTGCAAAACATTTTACTGTGACGTATTGACAGAACATGCTACACCAAATAACACAAAAGTTCTTTGAAGACAGAGTGAAACTCGAACACATTCCGACAACAGCATTTTCAATTTCGAAAGATATGTGCGACGAGCTCAAAATTTATATTTTTCAACTTAGAAAATAAGGTTAAACAACAAAAGTGTTTGGACATTTCAGATTTTGCCGTACACAAAATTTCGATATCGACGCGACTGAATTCACTTCAATTTAACAGCGACGTATGGACGTTTAAAATATGTACGGATTCTATAGCATTTATCGGTTCAGTTGGCACTGTTCTCGAATGAATGTGCACTTATATATCGTGGCATTTTATTATCTCAACTTTAATTAATAAAACTAAGAAAATGATTAAATATTGAGCCACCAAGTCCACCTCTATGACATGTAAAGGAGGGGGAAATGTTTTCGCAGCGTAGGAGGACTTTTTTCGCAAATTTCATTATGGCGTCATCAAGAGAAATAGCAAACAGAGCTTAACTAATACAAAATTTGGTTGGTGGATCAGTCTGAACGTTTCTACTCTTCTCACGAGAAAATCACTTGTGTACATACGATAATGTGCGTGCATTCTAACCTATATTATCATTAGGCTCTGCCATGCATACTCCAAGTAAAAATAGAACCACTCATCGCTGTTTATCTTTCATTCGTACTTGATGGAGTATGATACGACTTATCTTGACGACCTGATACCATACGACTTCAACGTTAATAAGTAACAACCACGCTAAAGACCTAATCAGTGATCGTCGGATATTCCTTTCTCTTAATTTTACGTTTTATTTATTTTTCGTCTTGCATCATCATCATCGTTGTTTTATAAAACGAAATTGTATCCAGGTTGTACACATTAGCGGTCGTCGACTAGAGTGAGGCACGATAAACATTTTTGAAAAGCGTTTTAGAGAAGTGATTTTGATATATTTTAAAAAGTTGGCATCTTTTCACGTGCTTCGAGTGGTAAGAATTTCGAGAATCAAAAGTGCGAGATAACACAGAATACAAGTGCCTATCATACGAAAATGGCGCAGTGATAATTTTAGGTAATATAAAAAGTAATTTTGTACTAGAGATAGTTTTGGAGTAGGAAAATTGTATTTGGAGTAAAAAATCGAAATGCAAATAATGAATCATAAATCTAATATATGAATAACGTTTGAAAGACTTCAGGATTTTTTTGCAAGTTAAAACACTCTTGAATTCATTTTAAATTTTGTCAGAATAAAGCACAAAAAAACAATTTTGTAAAACTATATTCGAAGCGGTCAGACGTTTGAAGATAAAAGATTTATATCGTTAAAATGGGTCAGTGTGGAAATTTGGGACTTTTGATTGGAGTTGCGGCAACAGTCGGAATTTTGTATTGCCTCGGATCAAGATATTGGAAAGTAAATTCCCAAGTTTCATCACAACAAGTAAATCGTGGAATACAATCTTACGAAGGATTATGGGTAAGATGTACGAGCTACATTCCTGGACAATTCCAATGCGACAACTTTGATGAATCATATTTGGCGTTGCCAGGTATGAAATTACTTTATTTTATTATTCCTAATAGAACAAATTGTGACCCGTAGTAAAAGAAAGAAAATGAAATAGAATAATGGTGATTTGAGATGTTACATTTCAAAAATATATTACGCCCTTCTACTCGCTGTAGAAACCCAAAGCAGAAGGAGATATTTAGTATCCCATCCTAAAATATATTTTAATAGAAAATACGCGACAAAATTATTCAAAATTTGTAGTAAATTTGGTAAAGTTTTCTAAATTTCTCCCCATATGATCTAAGAAAAACACATTTTCTCAAGTAATTAAGTTTTTGCTTCATATTAACTAATGAATATTATATAAATCAAAATCCAAGTCTAAGGGTTGTAAGTTCACCTTACAAAAATGCTCTTTCAGAAGCGTTTATCAGCCTTATATCTGAAAATATAAATTTAGCAGTCACCATGTGTATTATCAATAATAAAAAACGAAAAATTTGATTCAAGATGTAACCTATTCAATTCAGAAACTATTTTTTTTTGTAAATCTCGCTGAGACGATATTTCGTTTCGATTTTTATGCTTTGTCCCAACGAAAAATCCCAATGGTCAATAATCATAATATATAGCCCCATACAACACAATCACAATGTTCGAATTCGTTATCCTGTTATAACACGATGAGGCATAGTTCAAATAACAAAAGGTCACTGTACGCTTGGGTAAAACATGGCAAATATTACAAAAATTGTTGCCATGGTATAAATGTTGATTTGCCCTGTATACAAAAAATAGTCAATTCTAGTTTAAAGTCTCATAATCTCGTGATGTCCATATATATGCAATAGTACTTGTTTCGAAATTTTTTTGGTGATATTTTCAAGTAATCAGTGAAATTCATTCTACATCAACACAAATAAATTCAGTGTTCGAATATATGTATATGAAATAAGCACATTCTTTACATTGCTCAGGATGATATGTTATTCCTCAACGTTTCGAACCTAACAAATGTAATGGTCTTACACAGCATCCAATAATTTCTAAATTGCTCATTAGCTAGGCTAGTTTCCGGTTGACTTGACTGGCTATAGCGTTTAAACACCACATCCCATATTTGAAAATAATAGTGGATGTTAAAAGATTATACACTTATCCATTCTGTAAATTACAAAACCGGGATATTGATAGATTTAAGATGGGTTAGGAAAATAATTCAAAAAATACAATTTCATGCATACAGTTTTCAAGCGTTGGGTAGCGCCAAAGTGCTACTGTTTGGCAATTCCAAATCACCTCAAATCCCCATTATTCTTTTGAAAGCACAATTCGATTTTCATTTTATTATTTTAAATATTTGATATAAATAGTAGGTATAGTGCATTTTATATCTGTGCTTTTGTGTATATTTGATAGCTTCAAATACGGGCGTGTCATTTGTGCTCACTCCGACGTCTGTCTTTCACCAGTCCTCTCACTCACTTTTATCTTTATCTCTTTCTTTATCTTACATACTCTTTCTTTTTAAAAAAATTCTTCTCAAAGTATGAAGAGGGGTTTCACGAGTTTGTTTATCACAACTCCCACGACAGGACTAGGAAATTATTAACTTGTTTGAGACAAGGTAAACACACCAAACGGCTTGACGTAACCAATTCAAGCGCCAAAAATCACCGAAACGCTAGATGTTTCACCCATATTCTGGAACAGCAATCTGATAAGCAAGTTTTAGTCGCGCAAACATATTACGTAGTCTACATAACAAATATTTTACTTGAATCATCATGTATCATGCCATATTCAAAACTATAACTATAGTAAAACTGTTAAAATACTCTACCGTGGTGCGAGTCACGTATTTGTCTGGACAGCATGTCCCGTTCACTAAAGTCCAACCGACTAAAAGACATTGTTATGTATTCAAATAAATATGACAGAATACCGTTTTGGTTTTACGAGTGGGTCAGCGAAAAATCATTTCTTCATCCTTAAATACTCAATCATCTAACTAAGTATGTTGGATGCCACGTAAGTAATGGAAAGCGGTTCATTAAAATTGTTGTCATCACGTACAATTGATGCCTGACTTGGAGATACTTGGCTGCTATTTGTCAATAACTTTTCCCAATATTTAATTAAATTTCGAAAGTATTTTATGAATTGTCATAAACATGGGGCAACTATACTGTAACGTTTTTTTATTGCTGAAAAAATGAAACCAGTAGCAAATCTGAGAGTGACCTATTAATAAAAGACATGAACAGATATCTCTGTAAATTTTTAAAATAACACAAATGATGGGACACTCCATTACATCGATGAGCCAAAACCCATAGCCTATCAAGTGAATGTGTGTCTTTGTGTATGTAATTCATCAAATTTGAAACGGTTTTAAAAATTGTCACATACACAAAACATATATTTTGACAAACCAAATTAAATACCATTGGTGTGAAAGAATTTTTTATTACGCATGTTCGAAATTGATTCATATACTGCGTAATATATGAACATTCGATGCGAGCCAATGCGTGGGTGGCGCACCCCGCTCAGCAAACAACACAGAAAATGAAAGAATAGAAATTAATTGCGTTACGAGCCTCCCGCCTTATAGTGTAAACATTCAACAATTTAACGATCCTAGCCTGTACTTAGGGCTATGTTAGCTGAAAATATCAAATGTGGTGAAATACTCCGTGCTATTTTTGGTCCAGTGATTCTAATGGCCATGCAGTTACCATATAACGTTCATTTCTCCCAGTCCAAAATTGACCAAATATTGAGTAGCCCTACGTCTGTCCCATCTGACCAATTTGAATATAGAATACCTGATTTAGAGTAAGTCAAATTAAAACCTGCAATCAATATAAAATGCAGACAACCATCAGCCATACAACACCTAGCTAATATTTTGCAATTTATTCACGCTACATGGTAAACATAAATTAGTCTCGTTATAACGGGAAGATCGGCCTAGGTCTAATAAAGCTGATTTGATTGAGTTGACAGATGGTTTACAATATATGAATACTGCCAATTATCTAGCTGAATAACATATTCAGTATGAAATTATAGAATGTTTATGAAATCAAAAAATATGATTAAATTAGATTATTGTGACCAAACGTCAAGCAAGCATCGATGTGCTTTTTCATAAATATATATACTGCATTGCGCTACAATGAAGGGATTTAAATGAACACATCTTATATCGTTCTACTTGGTCGGAATTGCCCAAAAGATCAAAATTCTGCTTCACAATGGGAAACCATTCACGTAATTTTTTATCGAATTATTGACAAAATTCATCTCGTGATATTTCGTCGTCATTTTCGCCACTTTTGTCCCGAAAATTGTTCAAATTTGCTGATATTCCCGATACTATTGTTCGCCCTAAAATCTTTTATTCTGAAATGTTTGTTGATGATGATCGCCCATTACTCTAACTGAACGTTTTCTTAAAACTCGACGTATTCAACAAATTTTGATTCTTTCGGTAGTTTGTAAAGTCAGTAGTACAAGAATTGCAGGGTTGATAGAAATAATTATCAATTTTTTCGGAACTAAATTTGAAACTAATGATACAGAAAATTGAGGTATCGCTTGCATATATATAACTTAATTGCTTTTAATCAGTTCGACTAATTAAGGAGTTTCAATTCTAAAAACTCTAACATGACCAATAAATCTCTTTAGAATGCATGAGGCACCAATGATTTCTATCTTGGTAGTCAGAGGTTAGTAGGACTGTAAAGAAAAATTTTTAACAACCAGAATAAACAATTAGTATATATAATTAAGTTGAAGAGATTTCAGAAATATATAAACGAGATAATTCAGTTAGTTTTACAAACTACTCGTAACTTATTCACTTATAAGAAATGGGGATTCGATCATTTGTCAGACTAAACAATTTCATGAATTTAAGTCAACTCAAGAATCAATTAATTTTTATTCGCTGCACAGAAAACAACGTACGATACACATTCGTTGAAGAGAAGTTAAATTATTTCATTATATAAAATTACTGAAAAGCTTTTTTAAACAAAACAACATTGTAGCAAGCTTAAAACATCTTAGACATCATGGGAGCAATACATACTGCTGCATTTGGTCTATGCATCCTTGCTGCCATTGGTGTGGTATTTTCAACGATTCACAACGAATGGAAAAAGAACAGTCAACTTGATTCTCAACTGAATCTTGTCAACATTTATACCTGCGCTGGATTATGGGTACGATGCACATCTGGAGTCAAAGGTCAACTGCAATGTGACTCCTACGAAACAGCTTTGTTGGCGTTACCTGGTATGTTACACATTTCAAAGATTTTGAATCTTAACCAAAGTTTAGAAAACTTTTTATCATTTTGCGAAAGAGGCAATAATGAGTTTAAAAGATATAATTAGAAAACACATGGTTTCTAAAATATTGCATTGATTTAAATTAAACCTTCGCGCGACAAAAGACGAGGATGTAAAAACAGTTTCACCATATTTTGCGTTATAACGTTGTTTTTGTCGCAGTTTCGAATTCATAATCGCATTTGAAACTAATGTACATCCGTTACTTATATAAATATAACTTGTATGTTATTTCATCTACTCTTAAATAGGTCATAGATTTTACGTTTTCCTCCTAAATCGTTAATGTTTTATTTCAACTATTTTTCAATTCAATTTTATGAAAATCAAGAAAGTTGTTACGGAGTTTATAGATACATACAAATCATGTATTTGGAATAAAGTTCAATGCTTGATGACGTTTTATATTCAAATTAGTTACATGAGGATCATTAATAAATCAAACTGCTTTCTAAAAACTACCAAATAAGGATATTTTTATGTTTAACTACTAAGTGTGGAGAACTGTACAGCTGTTAAATTGGGCGATTCACAGCTATCAAATATTTTACTTTTCAAAATTTGATATTCAAGATGGCGCGTCATCGTCTACACACAGGCATAGCGAGTTAAATATTAACCGATCTGGTATCGTTTCGTTTTATAGAGTTTACTTTTAAACGTTGTTCAAATAAAATTTCAAAAGCTTCGTTAGCAATACTGAAAAAGCGCGGGCGGATTCAGATATGAATTTTAAAAATAATGTTCGAAAACTGTACGTGGGTGTGCGTTGGTTGGTCGAACAAAGAAAATAGTGTTTGATCAATGTGTGACTCCATAGATGCCAAATTGGATACGAAATAACACAGCCTAGCTTTGTAAGTGTGGCGTAACATACATTACACTAAAATTTTGAAAGCATTTTATTATGAAGTAATATATCTCCTGAAATCGCGATTCGTGTTTATTGTATCATAAATTATGTGACCCAATGCCAAGACAACTTTTAACAAGTGTTTTATCCGGTAAAGATTGTTTTTATTTCGTATAAATTTATTTTAGTTAATATAGATATTTCACTTTATCATCCCTGAACGTGGAACCAATTCGAGGGTTGAAAAAATATTTATATATCGAACAAGGTGGTTCACAAACGCTATAGAATAGAAATAGACAAATCAATGTTTCTTACCCCAAACTTCACTTGTTCAAATTGTATAATTTCGAATTTTTGATCGACTGTAAACTGATATCTACGAACTAAAGTGAATCTCGGGCGAGGGAAAACATATTTTCCATGTCTAAACATATTATGATTTAAAAAATATACTGTAACAAAACAAACTAAAATTAGTGAAAAAAGAATTTCATATACAAACGGATACATGTTTTAGCGTAAAATATGGTGAATACCTCAAGTATGATACAAATTTTATCAAAATGCTACCTTTGACATTTACAAAATGTATATATGAACATCAGAAGCGATATAATACATATTAAATGTATAACGTTAATACTAATAACAGCTTACTTGTCGGCACTACGAGGTATGATGATCGTATCTTGCATCTTTACTATTCTCGGAATCGCAATCTCTGGATTCTCACTAGATTGCAATGCCCAGATCGAACCAACTCAAAGAATTTGGGCAAGAAGAGTCAGTGGTGTAATGGTTGCACTGGCAGGTAGACTGAAGCATGAAATGTAGGAGGGTATCTAGTAGAAAGTAACTTAATATTTTTGGAAAGAATATTCTTCTATCTTCTTCTTCTTGTCTGCTTTCATCTTTGGACGCTTCTCTGAGTCGGGTAAGCGGAGTATTGACACGCTCGGTAGTGTCATACCTTATATCTAAATCGTTGACAAATTGATAAACAGCTCCACTTCAATGCCAACGTGCCTTCATGGTTATTGCCGGAATATGCTGTGTTGCTGGTCTCGTGGCGGGAGCAATGGGCCAAGAATGTATCCACGCTGTTAGTGGTAAACCTAAAATCTGGTCCGCTAGGTCTGGCGGTATTCTCATGATCGCTGCAGGTAATGGTATTAAGTCCTGATATTGTGTAACTGGAACAATTGATAAATTATTGTGATAATGAATCATTATAATAATTTTTTATTTGAAAATTATAAATGGATACCGGATAAAAATATTAACCAAACAATTTGCGTTTTCATGAAGAATAACAATTTTATGCAATCGCGGATATCAGTTCAATTGATATAAATATTTCTCTTTTTCATTGTTATATATTCAAATTGTTTTATATTTATAATTTCTAAATGCATGTTGATAAAGTGGATAATTTGCATGGCTGCGTTACATATATATAAGAAGACAAAAGAGTAGAGTAGGCTATTTCCTTACTATCGCCGTAATTTATGCAGGCTTATATATATATATACTATATATTTCTAAATACTCACAAAAAATAATTTTATTTTTCAAATTAATTGTCATAATGCATGGAAACGTATCGTACTCACTATTTGTGCATGGAAACATTTCAAATTCAAGTCTTTTATAATTTTTGTGTTCAATTGGCAACTTTGTATATATCAGTTGTTATCAATCTGGAAAGCTGCTCAAAATTGGATAAATCTATCAATTGTAATTGGTTAGTCTTTGAAATTTATTCCGAATTCATTTATTGACGGGAAATGACATTTATTGAATGCTTTTAAAGAATTCTAAAATTTAGTTTAGCCCGAAAATCTTACAAAAATTGTTTGGTTTTCTGAAATAGACATTTTCTGACAACCGCACCAAATTAGTATAATGTAGTTAGTATGCACGAATGTCTGTAGAATATTAAATCTTCAAAGTTGAACGTTCCAATTTCTTTAAATTAGGAATTTTAACATTGGCTTCTGTGTCATGGTATGCCGCCGAAGTTGTGCGCGAGTTTTGGATGGACCAGGTTAACCAGTCTTCTTTCCAATATGAATTCGGAGCTGCTTTGTATATTGGCTGGATTGCCTCGGTATGTATTTGTGTATTTTATTAACAAACTAACATATTGTCTATAATTTATTGGGGAAACAGGTTTTTTGACTGTGACGTCCGCATCGTGGTATGCTTCAGAGGTTGTACAACAATTTTATACGAATGAAAATCAAAATACTTCCTTCCAGTACCAGTTCGGAGCGGCCTTATTTATTGGATGGGTTGCAGGCGTGAGTTAAAAATGAGTTTGCGCGTGATTATCTCACCGTTTTGATTTCAGAATACAATTGTGTGGTTTTTCTTTCTGCGTGGCATGCACTTTTTCTTTCTGAGCTTTGCAATGAGACGGGGGCATTAAAATACCATACTGCAGCATATAGCTATATCATATTATCGAGTGGAGAACAACATATATTTTGACGTTTTCTACCTGATGTGAAAACAACTGACGGAAATTAGACATTGATTTATATGGCTGATAAATTTGAATATTTTGCACAAACTATTTATTTTCTTGCAATCACTGTTTTTCTAAATCGTTTGTCTATTTTCTCTGCTTTTAACTTTACCCGACAAATTGAAACTCAAAACACTCACGTTGAAGATATTTAGTGCTTGGACACAATATTGTAAAATAAAGAAAAAAAATATTCGTCGGGGACAGAATAGACACGAAATATTAATTTTCCTGTGTGCTTCCTTCCTTCTTTTCCAAGTTGTAACATAACAACGTGGAAGTATTTAACTTTATTTATAATCCCAGGGACTTGCATTGATTTCCGGATGCTTGATGGCTTGTTGCACTTGTGGAGAACCAGAAGATGAAGCTGACGGATACAGATACACCTACAACCCACCAAAAACCCAGCCTTCAAGAAACACAGAATATGTTTAAACAGAGCACAAGATAAACTGAGAAGCAAAAAAAACTTTAGAAAAAATGCACTGAAAAACTGAACTGTTTGGAGTCAATTACTCAGCTGTAAATTGAACTTAGAAGCATAAGATTTCTTATTATATTTGATGATCTAAATTGATTCTGCATACATTTTTGTTTGATATCCTAAAAACTTAGCACACAAAACCGTCCCATAGTTCTTGAAGTACAACTGAACGATGATATGTTTTATATGTATACGTTTCGTCATTCAAACTCACGCCTTCCTGTGGTATTACCAATTTGATTTGATATATTTAACTTAGTATACAACATTTGAGTCAAAACCATTGATTGGTTTCAAAATTAAAAAGTTCTCTTTTGTATCGAGCTCGCTTGGATCAGGTTTCATCATTTCAGAAAACCATACCAAACCTAAAGTTCCAAAAATGGGAATGGATTCTCTGATATCATGACGATTTGCACAATCCCCCGAAATCGCAACCCCACTACTCCATTGTTTTGTATTACAAATACCTAAAAATTTACATTTATTTGGATTTTTTTCTTCTTCTGATAACATTTCTTGCTTCCATTTCTCAAACCTAGCGTTGAAGAATGTATATAGCCGTTCATACGCCGGCGTATTGAAGCAACGTGTATATTGTTTTTTCCGTGTAGACCTGTTTTATTTCATTTTTCACATAAAAATACAAAAAATAAAAATCGTTCAAATTAGTGGTTTAATTGGCTTACAAACATATCAAAAATTTTCATTCATTATATATTAATTTATATATTGTCTTATAGGCTTTGGATTTTCTGTAATAAAACATCAATTTCATTAATTCTATTCTGATCTATATCATTGAACAGGATAGCCCTGAGATTTGCGAGCATTGGAATCTAATAAATTTTTGTATTACTGCGAAGAATCCTCAGTTATAGTAGTGCAATTCTACAGCATAGAATACTTCAATAGCAAATGAGACTGACATGCGTCTGTTTGTCACACTTCAATAGATGAAATGGTTTCCAGTTGGTCACTGAATTATATAAGAATTGAATAGCTAGAATAGGCGTCATAGATGAGGGTCATATCAGCAATATATAAGGAATAGCAATCTATTCAAGAGCAAAATGCAAATGTAAACAAAATTTTAATTTAATGTTTTCTCACTTAATTGGGAATACTAATTTGATATCGGTTTAGTTTAATCTCAAGAAGATTTTATATCAATACATCAATTCACGAGCTTCAAGCCTTGTTTCAGGTTTGATTGACTTCAGTCACGACGAATCATATTCCACTCATTCAATTCGAGTTTACCGGATTGAATATCAAGTTCAGCTCGGCATCTTTGATAGTATTCATTATCCCAGACTAGTATTTGAGAGAAACACTTCAAAGTTAACAGATTTGAGGTCGTACAAATATGTATATATTCAACGAACACAACGCTCAGTAATAATGTGCCACAGTTTTCCTACAGGTAAAACGATGTTAGATGTACGACAGATATATTATTAACAATTTTATTCCATTATTTCACTCGCTAGTTATAATCATAATTGGCTCATTTGAAATGTTTCTAAAATTATATCCCCCACGCAGCCATATGGCAAGATTGGGTATAAGATGTGCTTTCTTCGTGATTTATAAGCGTGCGTGGTATTTTTTTAGCGTGGTATTTTGACTTGATGACAACACACAAACCTATACAGCCCTTCTTGGAGCCATATCGCCGAAATTAGTCAGCGGAAATCCAAGCGTTATAAAAAAGCGAAATTTGGGATAAAACAATCCCCAGCAAGATCACGAGAAATAAGAAAACAAAGTATAAAAGCAATGTCATATCGCTAGAAGACACACTTCTTCTGAGTATTAGATGGCCTTTTGGTCAAGTTTAGCCTTCGTAGAATCGTAGGTCCACTTTGTATTCAATTATTCTCATATTATGAACTTAACTTTCAAGCCACTGAATATAGTCTACCGCTATTTTTCAACTGGTTCCCTTGTCTTTCCAATCACCCGGAGTTGAACTTAATAGTTTAGCAGTAGCCTACATTGTTTAAGACATTGAACCTAGAAAATCGCACTCTCGCATGAACATTTTACCACATGAGTTCAATAATATGCTTTACTGAGTCAAAATTTATTCGTGTAGAGTGTAGACTGTAGTGGAATAAAAATGTAGTTCAAAAATCACACAAGGTGTCAAGGATGGTCAATTTTTCCTCCTTGTACCTAATTATTGCTTCAGTACTATAGCACAGTTCAAATGTCCACGCCTAAATTTACAAAATTCCCAGATTATATATTTCTTCGTAATGTACACATAATTTAGTTTAAGGTTATGGAGAAAACTGTTTCACCTTTAGCACAAAAACAAAATACAAAAGATTAACACGCATGACATCAAGACTTACCGTCGTGTTGCCAGACTGTCATCATGGCGGTGGTCTTCCTTGCGGTCCAATCGTCTTCGCCACTCGTGGATGTTGAAACGTCAAACTGACATGCAGTTTGTTGTAATAGTGAATCCATTATTAAATCACCAAAATATGTTGCGTTGTATCAAAGCAAGTCCGGATGATCGGTGATCACTGTAAGTGTACAGTTCGAGTAGATGGCATTTAACATTGGGTCGAGCTAAAATATTGAAACCAAGATTTCAATTGTCGATATCTTTTACATTTTTGCATTGCATCTTATATTCTTCCAATTATGCGTTATATGCAAGAGAGCAAGAATCTCCGGTGGCGTATGCAAGCCTCAACTTGAAAATATTGAAATTACTGATGCCATTAACTAATAAAGAAGTTGCTTATGAATCTTTTGGCACTGCTATTCAAAGACAAATTTCTCCTAATATGTCATTAAATGATGACTTTTGCTCCACGCTCCATTGAGCACGATTGATTTTCGGTTTCTTGAACTTTTTTGAGGACATGAAATAATAGTGATTCAAAACAATACATTTTTATACAATATACTAGCAATATTTTGTGCCATGTTTACAGATGTCTCATTGTCAGCTTCATACGAACCTCCTATTTCAAGTATAATGTAACTTTCCTCCTTTCATTTCTACCTAATAAAACATTTTACACTTGCTATAAAACACAATTCAATGAACCAATGGTTCATGATGTCACTGAGTCAACATTAGCATTATGCCCCACAAAACAATGAAATTTTGACGCGAAATAGCGTGACTGAGATTTTGCCCGTATTCGGAGTTATAACCAACTTAGCCAGCCTACTCATGCAGTTTAGGCAAAAGATACAAAGGAATTTCAAACTGAAATTTAGGATTTGATAAAGTTATAGAGAGAGAAAGATTGTTCAGTATCAATTGTAATCGCCGACTGCTGGGAAAGTTGTTCTAAATTTGATGAATTTTATAATGTCAGAGATACAGTTCAAACTGAGAATTAACAGTAGAAAGATATATTGAACAGTTGAAATTACTACTTAAATACATAGTTCGTCGAAGTTATGATTTTTCTAAAACAAATTTTGACCGAACAGATGGACTTTTGATATAAATGTACCTTGTAAAATGAAATAAAAATTATGATGATAATTAGAGATTTTTGAAACAGTCTACTGTCTTGGGTGTAAGTTGGGTCTGTAATTTTATACCTAGATTTACTTAAGGGGATCAAAGCCCCAGGAGAGTTGTGAAGACAAAAATTTGATAACAATTGGAATTTTTAGTTTCTCCAATTTTTGCTAACTCGAATACAAAGAGAAAGAAAACTAGGAACTAAGTGATATTGGGTAGAAATATTTTCTGAATTTCAAAACATTGTCGGATGTGTGGTAACACGCTCTTCCATTTTGTTAATTGATTTGATCCGACGAAATAATAACAACATCAAGAGTATTAACATAGCTTATTGGGGATCACTTACATGGCACACGCGCTAATGGTGTTTTAAAATCGCGTCATTTGAAGTGTCCCATTAATATTTCTAATTCACTTATAGTTTAAATTCACAATGGCTGGAGCGTTGCATTATCTTGGGTGCATTATTGCCGTGTTTGCTGTTTTTGGAACGATGGTGACTCTAATTCACCATGAATGGAAACACACCAGTGACATCAATTCACCAGGTCATCTACAGTCCATTCACATGGATGAAGGTCTGTGGATACGATGCACATATCCTGCTCCTGGACTTGTGCAGTGTGATACATTTGGAAAATCAATGTTTACACTTCCAGGTATGTTGCGTTGTGCATGTATATCATGTAAAATCGAATTATAAATATTGAGTTTATAGTTTACTCAACTGTACCAAACTGACCTAGATGAAATATGTGGCTGTAGGTATAGGCAATGTTCACGTATACATGTTAAATTAAAGCTTAAATTAAAGTCATATAACAGACGCTGAGAACTCTTCAAAGTTGCAAGTTGTTATATAGGTATGGTATATACGCTGACAGGAGACATAAAGCAAGGTCAAGTCATTCCAACAAACAAAAAGTGCGGTGAAAATTAATCTTTAGGTTTGAAGGTTTCTATGATAATGTTTTGACATGATTTCAAAATTCTTGTAGCCAGAAATTCCTCCCTGTTATAGTATTTCATTTATTTATATTTCATTTGCAGGAGAACTTCACGCTCAGCGCGCTATGATGATATTATCTCAGATATGTGCTTTTACTGGACTTGTAATCTGCCTATTTAGTCTTCCTTGCACTACAGTAGACCCAAAGTTACGACTCGGAAGATTGGCAGGATGCTTATTGGTTGTTGCAGGTAGGAATGCGCATAAATAGAGATAGATCTAAAATATTTATTGCTACTGTGCACTTTCTCATACAACGTATTTTCGCACATGTTAGTAGGGGCTTTAATATAAAAACAGTTGTTGACTAGATAGGTTTGATAAAAATTTTCCAAGATGATGGCACATGACTTCTTAATCGCACGTTTCTTTAACTGTCCGATCTGCTGATTCTATCGTGATGAAGATTCTCAAGTAAGATGTATTTATGAGCTTACATTTCATTTACTTTTGCCAGGTATTCTTTGTCTTATTCCCGTATCAATGTATGCTGCAGACGTAGTTCGGGATTTTCGTTCCCCAATAGAAAAAGATTTCAAATACACGTTTGGACCAACTTTGTATATTGGATGGCTATCTGCGGTAGGTTTACGGTATATGATTTGAGCACATTGAAGTACGATAGCGAATGCGAAAAAATGCTTTGCCAGAAGTTATAAATTTCAGTATTACATAACAGAGATAGGCAATGGCAATTTTTATGTAATAATTCTGCCCAGTTCAAGTCTTATTAACTTGTCGCGTTAATGATTGTTCATAGCTTTGCTCTTTATGAGATGACGGCGCTTTCGACATTTTATTTTAGCATCAAAGAGTAAATAAACTTAGTTCTTCATAGTGAATATTATGTTAGAAGGGCAAACCAGAATCAATCAATGAAGTGATATCTTATGAAACTTTGAAATTGGTCTCCTGCTAATAATAGGCACTTCTCACTTTAAGATTAGAGCGAAGATTTAATAACGGATTTTTCTCGGCAAAATATTTAATTAAACGATTTATACTTTACAGGGTCTTTCAATATTATCTGGCATTATCATCGGCTTCTGTGCCAGAGATTTGGTCGATTTTGAATCTGACGCCTACATGGAAAAGACAGCATATATTTGATAACAACAAAGCGTGCCAGTTTTCCCTTTCTCATACTGGATGGGTCTTGACAAAGGGGACTCGAATGTACAAACACTAGTAAATTATGAAGTTAAACATCGGACTCAAAAAATTCCTGTTTAGTTTCTGGAAAATTACCATACTTCTGAAATTTTAGAACTCTCAAGTCCTTAAGACTGTATTACTGTTTGAACCCAAATAAAAATCGTCATGGAAAACTCACGGAAATTGAATGAAGGAGAATTACTTTGGATATTGTGTTTTACTTTATCTCTGCTTATTCTTTAGTTGACGTTTTTTATGATTTGTACCCTGCACCCTCTTAAAAATTGTAAACTATTGCTGATTCAATTTTTCATGAAGTAAAAACAACGTTTATAATAGTTTTTATTATGAGTAAATACTTCTTCAATGTTTTGTTTTTAATTTGTTATCCACTGTTACATATCTTTCAATTTTGTGAAATAAAATTAGAAGTAGGATGCAAATGTTTGATATAATACATTGCGACATATTAGTTGACCAGTCGATGAAATTGTCAATTCCAATCGTGAATCGAGTCAACCCATTCATGAATAAATTCGTAGCAAGTAAAATGAGACCACGCAACAATTTAGTGATTTCATTTTATTGCCTTTCGAATAAAACTGTCTATGAATGCCAGAACCGAGCCCAATAAAAAATACCCATTTTATTGCCATCGCTGAACAATAGGAGGAACCGAGGAATAATATAAAGATATAAACATATAAAAAAAAACATATATTTCTTTGAAGGTCTGAAGAGAATTTTGAACGATCAAGACTCAGTAAATGAAGACAAAGATATTGCGTTAGATGTTGTAAATTTTTAAGCTTAATCTCATAGTTTAATAAATGAATATTAAGAAAATTGTTCATGTTATAGCGCGTTTCGTTTCCTGCACAAACATCTTCGATAGACCTGCCTCGCGTAACGACATGTTCCTAGTATGTCGTACTTGGATCTTTCAGAATCGTTATTTGGTTTTGTCAAATCGCGTTCTACCACATTGGTAAATCTGTTTGAAGTGCCTGAAAAGTTAAATTTTTCTGGAATTGAATTACTCTGAATTTGAAAAAATAGCTTCTTATTTGTTACAGCCCAGTAAATTTTTTCTCTTTCAATTACGACATCCTAATAAAAATCACAGCCTGTAAAAATGAGCCATTTTACAGCCTTATTTTTTCGTTGCGCGTCATGAAAAATAGATCTATAAAAGTACAAAGAGCATCCGCGTCCCACTGACGCGCAGTTTTAGACGATGGAACGAGTTCGACAGTGATGCAATTTTTTCAATATATCGTATGCAGGATACAGGTAGATAAAAATGGAATGTTGTCTGACTCGATTAAATTGACGTTAACACCGACTGAAGTTTCTTGATTATGTTATTATCACTTCTCAGGATATTTTAGGTTATAATTCCTGCGCTGCAGAAGTGTGTGTACCAATATGTAGGGAACTAATTTTGTTCGCCTATTTTACATCGAGTTGTGTAAGGGGACTGCAGCCTATGGACAGGGCGACATATTCACTTGGCTAATACAGATAGTCCCCAAACTCGTAATAGAACTAAAAAAAAGATAATTCGAATAAAATTATGGCCTAGCCCTAACCTGGTGCACACACTACGGGAGTACTATAATTCCGACGTATTTCAATGGAGTAATACTGTAAAAAGCGATTTTCTTATTGTAAAACTTTGTGAAAATTTTGCAGAGAATATTTACGTTTAAAATACGAGAAGTATCCATTTTGAAGATTTGTATTACCACTGTAGTAATTTTACTTATATCGATTGGATTAATCACTAAAAATGGGACACGGAACCACAGCTGGATTTGGCCTTGCCGCACTTTCGTTGGTTGGAATAATGTATTGTATCATCAGTAATGAATGGAAAAGATCGAGTCAACTTGCTTCTCAGCAGAGTTTGAAGTTTCTATATCTCAGTGAAGGATTATGGATGAGATGCACCGTGCCAACGCCAGGCATTATGCAGTGTGATAACTACAGCACCGCTCTTTTTGATGTTGAACGTAAGTGAAAACAGTATTTCTATTTTGAAAGAATTATTTATAATACTGTGAATATATATATACAAACCCTTCCACTAGGCCGAAAGAGTTAAAATTGAAAGTCCGTATTGAAAGTTGCAGTAAAATCTGTATTTCTCAAAAAAAATTAGTCCATTATCCAATAGTAAACCGCTTTTTTTAAATAAGGCGGGTAAGATGGATTGTTAGATACTTGAACGCTGATGACTTGCGCGCAGAAACAGCGATTTCATTCGTTACTTCCACTTCTCTCATAACAAATATATATTGTGAAAACCCAATCGCAAATTATGAATTCAGTGTCACTGCTTTTGGGTCAATTCGAGGATTCCACCGCGTAGCCTATAACTAGGCTGCGGGTGTTGGTTTCTAGCGAAAGCTAAGCGCGTACGATAAAGATTTATATACCCGATGGTCTGATACGGATTATTCTATCAATTGAGTCATTTTGTCCAAGAAGTTTAAATTGTTATTTATATATGAATATTTCCGGTATGGCTGAGACATGATTTGCCAATGATTAAAGATTCTATTTCGTATGCGGGGCTCTGTATTTGTTGATGGGGTAAAAAAATTATATCAAATTTAGTCTAGAAAATCCCGAATTAAAAACGATGAAGAATTTTTACCTATGTAACATATTTTATTTTTGACAGAATACCTTCAAGCCTTACGAGCCATGATGATTCTGTCTGGAATATGTATGTTTGCAGCTTGCGTTCTTGATTGCCTTGCAATGGATTGCATCAATTGTGTAGAAGAACGAAACCAACTTTGGCTCGCTAGAGTAGGAGGAGTGCTTGCTGTGTTAGCTGGTAAAATCACGTCTTATACTGTTGGGTTGAATTGGTTATGCTACGCCTCTTTTTTTTTATATACCTTGCGTTGTGTAGTAAGAAATAAGATATATATCATAATAATAAAAACATTGGATATTGTTTAAAGATTTCATTAAAAATTTCAATTCGAGGAGATTAAACAAAGACGGAAAATTTGACGTTTTTCTACACCACTGTCGTTAGGTCTATGGCGCCATCTTACGACGCCTGTTTATTTTTAGTTCTAGTGTTGACTGGCACACGTAGTTAGGATAAAAAGTCACTTTTAAATTATGGTGTAGTAACTGAGCAAATAAATTATGCATAGTAAAATCAGGAGTGTGACCCTGAACTAATCTACATAATGCTGGTTTTCCTGTATTTTCTTTATTTTGGTAAACTGGGATCTAATATCAAACATACCACTTTTACAACTAGGGCTCTTGTGCGTTGCATCCGTATCGTGGTACGCTTCGGAAGTGATAAAAGAATTCAGATACGACTTTATCGAAGAGGGAATCAAATATACATTTGGTTCCGCACTCTATGTTGGATGGGTTGCTGGGGTAAGTTACTAATTAATATAATAGGCTTACTATATACAGTAATGAGATAACAAATTTAGAATAGGTTCAAACTCACAGGCATTTCATATGGTAAAAAAATATTGCTCATTTAATCAGCTTCATATTTTAAAAAATATATACAAAAATTGGTTATCAATGAAACTGTTGATCTATTTGAATTTTATTTAATATCACACTATGCACTGTTTTGCACACAAAAATGAGTGAGACGAAAAATACACATCTTTGCGTTGACTCATTTACCTCAATTTTGCAACATTGAGTATGACACACATTGTGCTCGCTCAAAATTTACTGATTTTCTGTTTTCAGGGATTTGCTGTGATATCAGGATGCATAACAGCTTGTTGTAACTGTATTTCCACCGAAGACGAGAGATTGGAATATTCGTACAAGCCTCCCAAGAGCAAACCAAAAACCTCAGAAGAATATGTCTAAATTGAAAAGCGTCAAAATTTGGCAGATGAAAAATAACTTCCGGATAATAAACTCAGTCGCAATCGTTTTGCTTTGCTGGGTTTAAAATGTATATACAGTAATATAACCTGTTTTGTTATATATGCTACATTTTGCTTTATTCTCTAGAAATTAAGTTCAAATTAAACGAGTTTCGAAATAGGATTCAAAAAAGACTATCAAATTGTTTGCAAATGAAAATTTAACAACTTTGGACTTTTTTGCAAATATATATAATTTTTGTGATTTTTACATTGCGATGTAGCCTATATGTATATGAAACTTGCACTTGTTAAAGAAAATCAATAAAGATTGTATGAAATATTTCTTGGTTTAGGTAAAATTTCAGAATGTGAATGAGAACATTGTCTTTTTTTCTTTTTCAAAGTTATCCTTTTGTTAAGCTGAAGCGAGTTTAAGGTATAATTCGTAACATATATATAATTTTGTGTATTTTCTGTCGTGATATGCTATTTCCATTTTGTTAAAAAATCATAGTTTAATATAGCATTCAAGAATTTATAGTTCAAACTTGATTTCCGCTTAAAATTTCTCTGTATTTAAACTTTTTGAATTTCGGAATCGAAACGATGCATTTGTTTGAGAAGAGTAGGTTAAAAATTATGCTTTTATTGGCATATTTTATGTGTGTTAGGATATTTTAAATATGAATTTTGCATGATTTGTACAATTGTACTTTGGTGGGCAAATATGCCGCTCATTGTTTCTCTATTTTATTTTTCATATATCTCCTAGCATTATATTGGTCACTTGGAACCTGGAATATATTACGTAATTGTAAATTCCATAATTCATAAAACTGGTGATTTTCTGTCGATCAAGTTTCTGAAATAACAGGAATTTTAACTTGAATATTTCGAATAATTGTTCTCGTTTGACAAATTTCTTCTCAGGTCATGTATATGGTGTGCTTCTAGATGTAGCGCTATGATTTGAAGTGTCTCATTATTGTGTAATATGTTATGAAGCATAATCTGCGTGGCCTATATAGATATAATATATATGTAATAAGAAAAATGTTTGAATATAGCCATCAACATTCCAAAAATTGAAAACAAATTCGGTAGCACTGATCACGAATAAATCGTAAAAGTTTGGTTTGTGTGAAGGAATATAGCACCGCGTAGAGCGCTACAGAGCAGTACAAGTATTGACTCTTCAATCCAAGAGGCAAGTATTATTACGATGACAGGCGCGTTTCCTTGCCAATCGCCGTTTGGGTACTATGCAAAGGTAGTTGGTACAAAATTGTTTTTTAATAATTTGAATAATGTTGTGCTAGCACGGCTACAACTACGTAGCATGACAGGGCTGTAGACTTGGAGAGACATATATATGTTTGATTTATGATGCTGGAGTCGTTTTTCCGAGTCGTCGGAGCTAAAATCGTATTTTTGAAAACTCCGGAGTTAAAATTTTAGACTTTTAATGAGGCTAATCGACATCAAAATCAACGGCACTCGTTCAGAAATAATGAAGACGATGGAGCGTTCTTAACAGATAATTAGGGAAGGCTTGCATGTGCTAAAGTTATTATTATCAAAATTTGGTTTACTTGAAGATGAAGTTGAAGTCGAAATTTTCTTGAACCTGCAGTTGACTTTTTTGTCATCTCGTAGTTAAAATCGTTTTTTAAATATTTAGAAGTTTATAGTATGAACGTAGTGAATTTTCTCCGACTTCACAGCTTTGATAACTCGGCATAGTACTCACAGGTTCGAACGCAATTGCTGCATCTTCTATAATCATACCGGGAATAATGTTTATTTTTGCAGTTGTTGATATATAGATGGCGGCAAGTGTAAGCGATTGAATCATGATGGTAATTCGCTCGGTATTCTAATCTGCGTATAAAAATTGGGTTTTACTTGTTCCTTATTACCACAATCATATCATTAGAAGAGGTAACATGCCTACGTTTCTTTTGTATCTCCGTTTTCCACGAAAAATTCCCATAAATCTAACTCGGGAAAAGGATTACTTCAGTTTAGTATTGTACAAAACACATGAATCGGTTAATCGTGTTCCCCATTGGTATAAGTTGTTGCCATAGCTCATAATTCTGTTGTGGGGTCATACGAAAGGCTACATTCACATCTGTTGAATCACTCTACTGATAAACAGAGTGCTTCATAACTGATCCCCAGTTTGGCTTGAATGCGCAAGATAAATAACCAATTGAAAATTCTAGCATTCCTTTTCAGTGGAGCAATGTTTCTTACTGTTACACACATTTACAATCTGTGAAATGTTTTGCCGAGTAAGAGTTGTAGTAAATGGATGCTGTAATAACACTGGGACGATTCATACTTTAGGTGGGCATAAGTCATCCACCATGCAGTAGTACAACCCTACGGAGTCGTATAAATAAGCGATAAGGTTGATCAAAAAAATCGAACGTTACTAGCCTAGAACAAGTATCTGTATTGCAGAGAATGAGTGCTAATCGCCGTCTTCAAATCACTGGAATTCCGTGCCCACATAGTTATTATATAAATCTGTATTTAGTGACTCATAATAGTTGAATGATGTGGAGCTTTAGGAACGTTTTACTACTACCTTGTGGCATCCCATGACTTCAATGACGTTTCCGAAATTATGTGAGAACGTTACTTAGCGCAATTTTACTTAAAATAAATTTAACCATCTTTGGTATTGTTTGGTATGGTGCGGTTAGAAAAGCCAAATATTTAATATCGGTAGTTCAAAATAGATTTTTAGGATGAAAAATCGCCAAAAAAGGCAAAGTAAATCTGTATATTAACTTATTTTAACGAATTAGCCAAATAGCAGCAAAGCCACAAAATTCTTTCGAGGATTTTCCTTCTATAATCAAACGAAGACATAAATACCAAACGCGCTTTCTCCTGAAATTGAACTGGCGCTCGGCGTGTCAGATTTTGCGGAATATGCATTTAATTTGGAGCGCAACGCCGATTTCGCGGTAGTTGAAGCCCGTCTCATCGAAGCGATTTCCTCGGGCACAAAAACATTTCGGAAAGAATGTGGAAAGTTAAGTCCAATAGGCTTAGATTTGTTTATACGATACAGGCTTTACATTTTTAAATGTTTCAGAACCCTGATTAGAGCAATAATAACCATTATTTGGAAATCTACTCTGGTCGCACAAGTATAACTGCCTCGTATGTTTGTATAGTGTGATACGCCTTGATTCTGAATATTCTGCACGGATAAATGGACGGCGTTGGTTTTCATTGTTATTCAATTATGACATTTAATCGATCCATTGTCACGACAACTTCATGGACGAAATTAACGATAGTATTCATGTGTTGGAATTCTTCTAAACCGATATCAAAATTTATTTCAGTATATATATATTATATACATATGTATAACGTAACTATGACTAGAGCGGTAATTTTCGCCGGGGTTTGCAAGTAAACCCTAAATAAATAAAGGGTATAGCCACGTCGTCAGAAAGAAACACAATCTCAGGCCTTTTAATAATCTGCTTTAATTCGGACATTTGTGGGAAATTTGGGAAGCTTGTCGTGGTCACTTCGCTTAATGATTGCAAGGCTCAAAATACAGAATTTATAATCCATGAATGAGATATTTTGTTGAGTTTGAGTTTAAAAGAAAATGTTGTACGTTAACATACTCAAAACTAAACCAAATTTTGTACTGTTTCAACTACAGACGGTTTAATTAAGTTTCAAACCTACTTTACTTTAATCATGCTTTGACTGTCCGGGTGATATTTACAATGTTTCGTTATCGATTACACTTGCGACCTCACGGATATTGGACTTTACTCGGAATTCTTACAATTGTGTGTGGAGCACCTATGAATGATGATGTGAGTTATCTGTTCCATTTTTAATATTCGTATGAACGTCAAATATGCAGTTATTCAACGCAAAATTGTATTGTTATTGCTAACAGTTATTCTATAAATGTGGGTTATTCGTAAGGGGCTCTACGAAAAAACCTCGCCAAATTACAAATATGTGATACAATTACTATCACCTAACTTTTGTACTTCACATGATTGATGAAGGTTAATGAACCCAAAATCTCAGATTCTATTGTATTAAACTTCGATTGTCAAGAGTATTTATGGCAACATGGATATCAATGATACCAGCGACTTTTGCTTAGAAAATACAAGCAGTGACGAAAGATGGCACATTGCTTATGGTTTCACGGGGTCAAATAACGCGTGTCATAGATCCACGAAAATGCTTTGTTTTGAAAGACATGTCATTTTAAACTTTTATTATAACCTAAGTTTAAGCGTATTAAATTAATGCAACGTAAACAAAATCCAATATTCTATTCCAAATACTGATTGTTTGTGAAAATTCAGAGTATTTCGAGTAATTTTGACCTTTATGGTATTTAGCAGTGACCTTGTCTTGGTATTATTCTTTTGTTAAATCCCCGTTTCGGACAATTTTGTTGAAAATTATATTTATTTTCAAGATAATCCAATCATTTCATGCCATGGATTTGAGGGAAATATGATTATTCTCAATTTCCGCGTCTTAGCCAGTTAACATTCCGGCAATGAACTAGCGATTTATGGAAGCTTAAAATATTAAAAGCAGGCGCCTAGACTGATGGAATTTATGGGGTCACTGCTATATTATATCTTTCGTTCCGATATATATATTCTCTGTACTCGGTATATATATGTATTATGCTATTTCTTTGACAAAATACAGTGCTTGTCGAGTTGAGTGGTTGAATTTTGCCATAACTGAATTTATGTTGATATATCCTTCCAACGCATTTTTTTTTTATCCCATTTAACGGGGTATTGTATACTCAGACTCGTATTTCAAGAACACAAATATTCTCATGCACAAAAGGATTCATACTTGTCAAAAATGTTCTTTGTTGTACAAGTGACTCGCCTGCTTGAAACCCAAGTAAATTTCAGGTCGTGCAATAATACCGCCTTTATAATAAATAAAAATAAATTATACTTTTGTCATTACTGATATTATGATAAAATAATACACCAATTACCCGAAATCGTCTTAAATATTTTAATATTTTGGAACTTTGTTTTGGCGATATTTACCAAAAATGCGCATTTTATTGTAAATTACGTGATTATCAATTCATTTCCAAAATTTCGTTCGTAGCTTTGACAATATGAAAATCCTATTCACCAATGGTATATTCTCTGAATCACTGCATTGTTCAGAAAAACTTTTGGAGCCATAAGTCATTCCGCATTAAAGACACTCCATTTAAAATTGTATCGAATTAATTTTAACAAATTTACAAATTCATATTGCGTTTCTATCTTTAGTTACAGCAGGTTTAGACATCGACAATGATATTGTTGTTTTAGCATTCACGCTTCAACACTTCTGGTCGTAACAAAACACTTACTGTATTTGATGGATTCGGCAAAGGATACGTGCTTGTGACAATGAAGATTGTTTTCTCTCACAAATTTTTAAATCATTAACACTCATTTGAGGCGCCGATCAGACTGAGTAATGCGTAACGAGAGTAATATCTCGAACCATACTTGACTGCTCATAATACCCTTTACATTTAAATTTAGTTCAAACCAACATGAATTTTGCCAGGAACTAACTTGCCCCAAACCAGATAAACAGAGGCCTGAAACATACTACAAACCCAAATTCAACACATTTAATTTAATTTTATCCTCAATGACAAGTTTACACAAAGAACCCATTGATAATTTTGATATGTATATATTCCTAACTTCATTCAGGATGTCCGGTTTATCTCATTCCCGAGCTGGTAGCATTGATAATAAATACTGAAAGATGCGACCACAATTACCGTATAACTCGGAAAATTCTTTTGGCCACATAAATGACTAAATACATCAATTCATTGAACAAGACACCGATTATCCATATCGGATTGATAACTATAAAATCATTTTCTTTAAAAAAAGGTCTGATAGGTCTATACCACAAGACATGTGTAACACGAGAGCAAATAAATTTTCAATATTACATTCCGTGACGAGCTAGCATATAGGTCACAAAGAACATGTTAATTGTAGCATTCATTTTTTCACCAGTAGGTTTAGTTAAATATAATGGTTTTTACAGAGTTGATGGACATCGAGGCCCGCATTTCTTTCTAGCATAGTCAACGGGACTAATAATTGAAAATAAAACACTTTATAAAAGCTATATTAGAACTTGTATTCCGTAAATAGATGTTCTTGATAGTGCAAATCCTAGTAAAAAAATAAAATGTGATTTCCATGAACATTATCATGTGAAACAAATCATTTTCTATGTTTAATTGTATTCAAATCAGTGCTTATTAGAAGCCATTTGTGCGTTATATAATGCGATCCCCTTTTTTCTATAGCAGATATAAACAACCCATTATCCTTGTATTTTTATAAAACTGACAAATGTGTTTTTGGTTCAAATTAATGGAAAGATTTGACTCAATTCGCAAAAAAAAAAATGATTTGGCGCTAGATTCATGGGATATATATATGATGTTTTCCAGAATCATCACCATACCATAGCACAAAAATTACTGATCTTCACTACGAAAACAATATAAAATGCGAGAGCGAAAAAATCCATTTATTATAAAAATTATGCATTTGCATTTAAAAAATCACAGAGGGCATATCACGAAATAGCCTTAACAAATTTTTGTTAAAACGCATTTAAAAATTACTCAAAATAATGTAAATACCGATCTATTAACGCTGGTCTATTTTTATCATCTTTGAATGGTGATCATTGTAAGTTCATAATTTATTATTTCGGGGCCAATGAGGCGAGTCCGTTGATAGAAATGAAGTGAGTGTTAAGTGTTACCTCGACCAAGCGCGGTATCGACTAAACATCTCAAATATTCTTCAGATTATTTTTGTCCCTATCATGAATAACATTTTTGGCTACTTCAAATTTTTCTTTCTTTTAGCGGCCATAGTTTCTGAATTCTGCGAATTCCATCAATGTTGTTAGAATATAAAAACAATGCATAATCGAATTATTGTCTGCTCGGCAGGAAGTTATCCATTGTCTACATAGTTTTGTACGGAAACTATAAAATATTCTGACCTTTTTCATCAAAGAACACAAAACAACAGGCGATTTTTCGATTCGCAATGAAGGAGACTACGGCGGAGATGAATAAACAGTTCCGATCGCAATATTACGAAATTTTGATTTTGTAAACTTGTGTCGTCAGTATGTCATTCAATGTGAATCTATTTTCTTTAGAAGACTATCTAGTTTTTCATATAGATTCGTTTAACAATTCACAAATTAAAATGTAGACTTATCATTGTGTTTGACTTTTTTACTTCGTGCATATGTACATGGATAATCTGCTCAAGCGTGTTAATAATGTTGATAATGACCAAACTACGTGCCATACTGCTATTGTGGTATTCTTTTTATAGAGAAATCTGTGTTTACTGTTATTACATAAAATAAACAATTAAAGTATAGTTACATGACAAGTTTTTCACAAATAAAAAATGCTAATTAATTTTAAAACAGTAGGCCTACATGCCAACCACAAACATAGCTCGGCGGAGAAAACTATACTCATGACCACGGCCACGTTTCGTTCACGGCGTGGAAATTTCCTCCAACTTGTCAAGAACTGCTTTATTCATACTTTAACATTAACATATTGAGGACTTCAATGGTGGCGTGTCGGTGTGCAACAACATTGATAAAAAATAATTCTGTCGTGAGATAGTATTCAAGGTACGTTTGTGGTATGCGTAGTGGTGTCTGTGACGTATGTTGCTTATATCGGTAATATTTTCACTTTTTGAACGACTGTTTTTGACGCTACTTTGAGCGGACGCAAGAGTATTTTCTTATTCGTCAGAATTTTTATGACGCCACAATACAACATTGATTATTGTACATACAGTACGAGTATATCAACATGGCTATATTCATAGCGGCGCATTAGCAATCGGTAAGGAACGGTATAGCTCAGCTGATATAGATTAGTCGAGCTGAACTAAATTGTTTGCGTCTCACTAATGCGTGAGTTATTGTTGGACTACTATGTTTGAAAACCAACGGCATTCAATGTAATTTCGATTTTATGAATTTGCGTTGGTGTTCAGCAATCAACAATGTTATTGGACACGTCAGTGGACATAACGATCGTTTCAGTATCATGTTCTTTGGCACGTTTTAAAAAAATCGCTTTTCTTTTTGATAACTGGACCAATTGCTTTGAAATTTTCAGTAGTTACAGATGAAATTTTTTTCCAGAAGGCTATTACTTTTAATAATTTCTAATATATTTTGTGATTCTTTTATTTTGAGCTATGACGTCATGAGAATTTGCCACCACGTGGCGATTCCGCAAATGCATATTGATCACGTGATCAGCGAACAGGTTCCGTAATCAAGCCTGCTGGTAAGTCACCGTACCGTACAGTGAATTTCAGCGTAACGTGTCCATATATTTGAGCATAGCTCTCTTGTTTGCCCCATGATCATTTACGTTCATTAGAATAACAGTAGCTTTCTCTATATTGTCGTGACTGTAAAAAACTTATCTACAAACCACAATCAAGTTATCTAATATTCATGTCGAAACAACTGATGTGAAACGAGCATTTTCGGCACGGTCGCGGTTTCCAATCTATCGTGCTTCGACGATGTATTTCAATCATGTCGCGGTTGTTTCTCACATTCTTTCGTGTATTTTTGCTGACTCCAAGTCATTAACATCGTAAACTTACCTATAAACGCGTCACTTATGATACCGAGCAGAAAAAACGATCCATGACTGGTGACCGCCAAACGAATTTGTGATGTTATTTACTCTTTTGAGAAAGTGATTGATGTCTACCGTGCCCGCAAAAAAACTTATCACGCAATTTTTCACCTAATTTGGTCACCTGTAACACACTGTTGCCACTCCTGCAATTAGCATATTCTTCCTCCAGAACATACGTATATATGAATTTGTTAATTTTCTACCAAATAGGCGTTGGCAGCTTTTTTCTTGTTGTTGTTGTTGATTAAAAAGGGTTAATCCGTCACTGTTTTTAATCAATAAAAAATGCCTAGTCGTAGCAATGTAGTAGTCAGTTTTGGGTTTCCGATATATGTAAAATGCTAATCTGCCACATGTCTGAAATGTTTGTTGCCGCGTGCAAATTCTTCGAATATTTCAAAACAAGTTTTTGTATCCATGTAGATAAGATAAAATACAAGACATATAACCTTTTGACATCGAATTTTCGTGCAGCCATTTTCTATTTGAAGTAATATATGACCGTTAGAGAATCCGAGACAATTGGTCATAAAAGAAATTTCCAATTTTGCCTCAGTGAACCTTATTTCGGGAGATGTCTAATCTACAATGCCAACGCGGCCTAGTTTAGCCAACGCGGAGCATTCCTTATTCTGTATTCAAAAATATTGCACAATAAATAGGTACTCTTATCTAAAACCTACTGAGTACAAGAATAGTTCAATTATGATAAAATCGTTTCTCCCTTCAGTGCGGCTGCTGAATCCCATCCGAATATCACTAACTCTCATGGTCTTAATTTCTTCATCGAATTTATGTACAAACAAATATTGCTCGTCACAAACCTCCGTGCGTTTTCGGGCTCTGGATTTTGACAATGGCAAACCAAAGAGGAATCATGAGCTCGTGACAAAAAACTTGAACGTAATAATATTTAATCATGCAACCGTCGAAACTTCGGACATGAAATTTTTAATTGACCAGTAAGACGAAATAATCATACTAAAATGCCATTTCTGTTATCAAATAACTTGATTTGTCAACTTTCAGATCAATCCATTTTGGAAGATAACAGACATTTGAAATTCTTTTTCAGCTTTCCACAGTACAAAAATTGCAACATACAATCAAAGCTATGGAATCCTTACTTGAAAAACAGCAACAAAGAATGTTATCTGGATTCGAAGGGATGCGAAGAAGAGTCAACGCATTGGAGAAAATTGCTGATAAAACAAGAAAAGAAATTGAACACAGTGCAGACGGTAATTATGTTTTGTGAAATTATATTATCAATATTTCAAAAATATCATTTCTAGACATGAAGAATATAGAGAAAACAGATACCGAATTCTTGCAAGAAAGGAACGAAAAATCAAGCACACTTAACCAATATTGTCGTCCCAAACATCTATTGCTGTAGTTTTAAAAAATTGTCTCGTCTTAGTTTGAATTGTAGACATGTCTCAAGCATAATCTTAAAATCTAGCTTAATTTGGTATTTCCAAAACAGATAAGGTGTTAAACATCGATACATTGCCAAACACACCCGCCAATTGGCTCGACAAGTGTCGAGAAACTCTGAAGTAGTTCTTGAAGAGGTTCAAGAACAATCTTGATTTTTCCAAATATGGGGCGAATACTCGTAAATAAAAAATTACCATTCAAAGTTACTTTTCCAAGTTATCGATTTTGATTTATGTCACTCACGCTTGTTTTGATTTACTTTGGTAAAATGATAGACCGTTTAAAAATATTTGTCACAAATAATACCATCAAAAAACTTTCTAGTAATGATGAAAATATTAAAACCGAAAAGCATCATTCATTCTGTTTCAAATTATTTCTTGGAACTACCAATTTTTTGGAGTTGTGAATCCTATTCTGCTGTCGATTGCAATAAAATCACAAATATTGCAAAATAAAAATTGAAGTTTTCTTTGCGCTGTGTCTAACACAGAACCCTAAAAGTTCTAATTTCCTGCGGTGTTCAATAAATAGTTCAAGTATCAAATCTATGGATGAAGTTTCGGTTCATTGAAAGGCGAAAACCGATTAAACATCCGATAAAGGTTTCATCTTGCGCCAACAATATTCTTGAGAAACCATCGATACGGAGCTAACGGTTTCCGAATTGTATCCTAATTTGCATTGATACCCCGTGAAAAAGTTGTGGTCCCGGGAATGCCAGGTGTTGCCTTTCAAAAATGGCACTATTGATTTCTCATTCCATATATATATATATATATATATATATATCGACGAAAAAGGAAAACATGTCAGCATAGTCAGTCATACCGGATGTTTATTCTTGTCTTAATCAATATGCAACATCGACCTTATAGGTTTCCAAAATTCAAATATCGCTCTCAACAACCAAAATTAAACATTGTTGTGATTCAGTAACAAGATTACCGATCGTAAATGACGCAGGAACGTCATCGCGTGGGAGATCTCTCGTCGCTGTGGTGGATTTGGCTGTCGATGCCACATATACTTAGCGGCGATGAGCGAAAATAATAATCTCTCTTCAATTTAAGGCGGTGTTCGTAATGTTCAAGTCGAGTTTCGGACCTTTTGAATTGACAATATTCATTCTTTGAGAAACTTGAGAAATATTTTCTCATTTCTTACAAAACGTTCCATTTCTCCACACTTTTGTGACCTAATGCGGCAACATCATAACGAATTCAAGGGTTGATATTATAGTAATTATACATTACACAAAGGCCCCCTATGTCATTTTATCCCCTGTTTATTTGTGAAAACTGGAAGCCAAAAAAGTCTATGTCGAAGGTTGACATCGTTCCATTTGTTTGCAATGTTAGCAAAATTTTATATATATACTGACGGGAGGAATGTGCTATCGATTATATATCAATTTTTTCCCTTTCAGCAATATGTCCTTCGCTGACAGCTCCCATACATGGACGAGTGTTGGGAGGTAAAAGGCGATCACAAGGAGATCTTGCTTATTATGTTTGTGGTCCAGGCTACGAAATGAAAGGAAATGAAGAAGTCGTTTGCTTAGAAAACGGGACTTGGAGTGGAAGAAAGCCTGTTTGCTCTGGTACTTTTTATTATTATTTATAAAGTTGTTTTCAGAGACATTTATATAGAACGGTAAAAAAACAAAAAAAAATTGAATAACATCTTAGCGTACACTGAATTACAGATGCCACCCCTCTTTCTATGACTGGCGAACGTAGAAAATCAGATTGTGACAATGTAGATGGAGAAATGCACGTGTGTACTTGCCCTGTTGGATTTCAATTATCCAAGGATCAAACTACTTGTATAGGTTAGTTAGTAGTATCTATTCTTAAAGAAACGAATCCCATTATCGTAAAGGTACAAGATACAACTACTTTCATCAAGTCAATTGAAAATTCAAGAATCAGCGGATATATATACTTTATATTTCGAAAATATCTTCGGTCGATTACCATCTTTATTCAACATGGAAACATCTACTGCTGTGTTTTCGTGATATAAGATGGGTTGAATCAGAAATCTCTTTCTGATGATATAAATTGGAAAATAGACAAGTTTTAAAAATATTCTAATAAATATTAGCTCACGGAAAAATCACAAAAACGTACTCGGACGGTAATCTGCAAGTAACCAGAATTATTTTAATTTTCAAAACAATAGATGTGGACGAATGTGCCAACTTCAGAAATGGTGGGAAATGTTTAAATGAATGTAGAAATCTACCTGGATCGTATCAATGTATTTGTCCGTCTGGTTATAACGTTGATAAAATTCAAGGATGCAGAGATATCGATGAATGCGCTTCAGAACGTGAGTGATTTACTTGAATGGCGAATCAAAATAGTCATTTATAACAGACGTTTGAGGTGCATTACCCCTGATCACTTTGTGGTGCTAATGCAGCTTTTTGATCTTACTTTAGTTTTAACGCTTTTGTGTAACTGTGTAATTTAAACTTATATTTAGGTTGTGTTAAATATACATCAATTGTCTGATTGTAAACCTCAATTCCACAAGTATTTGATAGATGGAGTCGAGTTTCATGTCAGCCCATTAACGCATAAGCGTTTTGTTTTATTTCCCTGACCCATAATAAAGCCCCGTATAAACATGTCATCGATAAGGGTCTGTGGCTGCAGTAATGCGTGTTCTGCAAACTAAAGATCAGACGCGAAAAGACGTTTCAGCTATTGGGTACAGTCATTGGGCTATCACCTCAACTTGTAGGTTCAACGGTTATTGTAAACTGATTCGACAATCGACAATATAAAGATTTGTCTTGCCTGTTGCTATTTTTTGTTACATGACATAGTTTCACGATAAAATATCTTACATAATTAAAAATTTTACGATCAGTGACGTATAGCTTCAACTGTAAAATAATAATACTACCGAGCTAAAAATCTAAAACACACAGCATGATCACCTGATATCAAATCAAGTTCTCACAGTACGATTCTTAAAGTATAAATTAATTTATACGGAACAATCAAGGTGTTCTTGAGGCTCTCATAAAACTGATGAACATATTTTTCAGATACTAACAATTGCAGTTCACCCACAGAATGTTTAAACACGGGTGGAGGATTTCAATGCATTTCTACGGATTGTCCTCGACACTACATAAAAACAGGGGCACGGTAACACTCCAATTTACATCTTTTAATGATCCCATATGACCTTGCTTGAGATTATTATAAACGATAGGACACTCCTCGCGCATCACAGGGTAGTTTATGACTATGTAACGGTTGGTCGTTTACACTTACAGCTCCCTCAATCGTCCACAATTGGAACGATGACCTGGTTGCATCTTGATCTGTGGTGTTAACCGAACGAGACACAACCGTACGTCATATTATTATTAAGTCGTCTTATCTCCTTATCCCATTCTCTTCACCTGAGTGTAATAGACTCAAGACTTAAATAGAAACTTACAGTGTTGTCTTCCTCAGCCACGTTAAATCTACTCGCCATGTCCAAAATCAACCCAACATATACGGTTTATAAACAAAATTGCATTTGAATTATAAATAAAAACAAAGGTTGTTTGCAACAGATAACAATAACTGTTTTCTTCCCCACTCAGACTCTGCCAGAAGATGCCTTGCAAACCAGAAGATAACATTTGCCACGGACTACCCTACAGTATTACATATTTTCACATGGCAACGACCTCGAATATACGAATACCAAGCAAAATTTTCCGATTAACAACGGAAAGTGGGTAAGATGATAATTAGAGTTACAATTAAATTACCAGCGCTGCATTCGGATGAATCCCAAATTTACTGTATGTTTTATTGAAACAGCATCGACAGAAGTATAACAAGATTTGCAGTCGCTCCAGGCAAAGACAGTTTTTATTTCACATCGCGAAGAGTCGATAGAAGAACCGGATGGTTAGTTCTTTACCAAAAGCCGATAGGGCCCAAGAAGCTGCAAGTTGATTTTCAAGCAAAGGAACATCAAAGAAATGGGAAGCTTATTGCAGCCCACGTAGGTAGAGTTACAATCTACGTTTCTGAATACGCATTCTAAACCTTGCAACTGCTTACCTAAGCTGCTGCTGATCCATGCTTGAGATTGAGAGTCCTGTTTTATTTATTTCTCATTTGGTGGAGAAGAGCTATTGACACTACAGCTAATCGCTTAAAATTTGCTGAAACAACCAAGATACTACCATGTATTAAACATTGGCATTGTTTATAGATATCGATTAGCCTCAGTCCAACAATAGTTTTCAGTGGCTCGAGCAGGCTGACTTTTCATCCATATGTACGTAAAAATACGGTAGGGAAATACCAAGTGGTGCTTTGAATTATTTGATTTCGTGATAGAAGATAGGACCAGTCGCTGTGTTATGATGAATGAATAAACTGGGTGCAAAGTGAAGTGCATATGACCGTTTTAAATGGGTTAGATTATATTCAATCTAATATGCCAATGCTGGGTGTGCTTCTCATATACATGCTATGTACAACTTGAACGGAATATGTTCAAAAATTAATAATAATCTTGAGAAAAATGTCGATATTTCCGATTTCATTTCTAACAGTTTATGCTTATCCTAATTTTATCGTCTTCACGAGATGTTTTCAGTATATATTATTCAAGTTTGCTTTTCATTATTTTTATTTACCAATTCCAAGTTCTAAAACAATTTTGAAATTGGAAGTTTTCTGGCAAATTGCTACTATGATAATGATCAGATAGATATTCTTCTATCATCTGAGATGAGGTCCCCAATCGTCAACGCTATTCCTATGCTGAAATTTTGCCGGTACTTTCAGCTCTTATCGATTTCTATTCCTGACAACTTGGAACGCTTCAAGTCTCGCGCTGACATCTATTTACTGATGTCTCTTTCAAAAAATAAAAGCATACCAGGGAGTGTCTTTTATCAGTATTGTTTCAATTTTAGGCAAGGGCTGGTGACCTTGCTTTGAACAACCCTGCATTAAACGCACTACTATCGGCACCACAGAGTGAAGACCTGTGCATATCCACACTAAATTAAACTAAAATAAGAAAGAGTACTTACAATTTTGAACATATATCGTAGAAGCCTAAAAATCTTGCAATCTTCTACCTTCGTTTGTATCATACATCTTTACTAACAACGATCCATTTTAAACCATCAGTATACGGAGTATTTTGTGAGTCTTTGAATAAATATATATTTAATATTATGAAATATTCGTGCACTTGGTAGTCAGATCATGGACTTCAGGACTTACGTTTTTGTGTCTGAATTATTTTTATCCAGTGTTCCATCAAATTATTGTTGCATTTCTTTCTTTTTTTATTCTTTTGCTCGTTTCTAAAGTAACCCGATAAACTGCGACGAAAAATAAAAAAAATATTGGCAAATTCTAATGTATATTTTAGCACGAGTCAACATAATATTAAGGAAAACCAGGGCTACAGGTTGGCTAATAAAAAGAGTGGAAGAAACTGAACCAATCAGAAGTCACATGAATCGCGCTGCGGGAACGAGGAGTGCAGCAAAATCCGCACCAAATTTTGATATTGTGCCAATATCCATGACGTATGTTTTGCTCAAATAATATTTTTCTTTGTGTGTTGCGGCGATGGAAATTAGATGCAATGTCAGTAGTAGATTTCTCTTTTGGCTAAGTTTCCGGATAAATGTCTAGATGGGTAATACCTCAATTCTCACAGCGACCCTATGTCTGTATGTGGTTTCTGTATCTTGTTAAAGATACTGCTCCACTATGTACGTGAATGCGTATAGGATTTGCATATATATCCAGAGAGAGAGAGAGAGGTCGATATGACGGCTTGGTCATATGGCGAACCAAGCTCTCATCTGTTACCCTTCCATTTCGGTTATTGAGACAGGCTTATAAACTTATTGGTACCGGTAAAGGAGAACAGAGCCATGCGATCCTCTCGCTTACAACTATTGAGTCACTATTCACCGCGGGCTTCAGACCCAATAATGCAAATCTGCAACGATTACCTGACCGACTACTCCCACGTCAGGAGGGGACTGGTCATCATCCGCTGCGGAATAAACAAGGGGACTCCGGTACAGAAACCTTGGGTCACATCAGACTGAGACTATACTGTCCGTCGAAAAATACTTAAATATATGCAGAATTTAAGAACAAGCTTCCACGCGAAAATAACGTGCCCTCCGTTTTCAAAGTTTAATTTAATTCAAAGCAAAATTTAATTCCTATTTATATTATCGAAATCAGTAAAAAAAATAGACAAACTAACTTGACATGATGTCCAATCAAGACTACAACAAAGTGACTACATTCTCTATAAGAATCGTTTATGTCACTTTTTATTTTTCTGCGCAGGATGAATTTCAAATGATGTTGTGGTTTTCAACTGTAATTCGGCAAAGCAATTTTTTTTGGGGGTTCCGGTGAAAGGTTTCGTTTCGATTTCCCAATCCTTCTTATGTAAAACAGTATTTTCTTGCTCTTACAACTATTAAGAATAAAACAGAAGCCGATTGAGTTGTGAAGATATAGAATATATATAAGAATATTTCTTTGAGCAACATGGAGCCGCGATTTGAAAGTTTGTGAGAAAAAATGCAATGGCATAAGGGTCATTGAAGTTTTTGCATTTCATCTTATATAATACCTTTTCATTGTTACTATTAGAGTGTCCAACAGTAGTGTTTTATAGGATTGCATACATTCATGGGTGTTTATAAATAATTTTCCGTATTGAGCCCAATAGCAAAACAGGGGTTCCACGAGGATAAAAAAGATTGTGCGTGTTACTGACGCAAAGTAAAATCGTTGTTCTCTAATGCAGTGATTTTCCACCTTTTTCAATTGAGAAACACTTTTTATATCACAAGTTATTTGCGGAACACCAAACGATCTTACGGAAATTTTTCAATTAACTAATATTCTCGAAAAGTTAAGGCAGAGAAAAATACAACAAGAGCAATGGCTAGAGGTAGAAAAACGCGTAGCAAATTCAAATCCAGGGTTACAAAGAACAAAATTACAATGTATAATATTTTTATACCTAGCAAATCGAGGAAATATAAATAAGACTTATCTAAGACGGGCTGTTCGTAGCTAAAAACAGTAATACCATTTCGAAATGTTATGAGCTTTCTTAGATGAGCACAAACCCTGTCTATATATATTCTGGCAGAGATTTAGGAAAGACAAACACGTTCTTCTTCTTCAATGGATCTCAGTTTCACACTACTTTGATATAACATTCGCTATGCATTATAAGGTTAGCAAACAGCAACAAGTGTTGATAGATATCAAATTCCTCCCATATTGTCAATAAACTTGAAAAATGAGATTATGGGATTTCAGAGTTTGCACTGTTAATTGATGTTCTCCAACCATAGAATTTTTTGTTCATCACGATGACCGATCAGCAATAAGCTAAGAATTAGGGTGTCAATTAATATTTTTACTAAACATCAGAGTCGGGCCTTATGTGACATTTGTCCTTTTTTAACAAAAACCTGTGGGAAACGTCCATTACCGCGTAACATTCTTTTCTTAGAATTAAATTTGCTTACGATTTCGGATTTCCATTTTACCTGATATGCCAAAAAGTTGGGGAGTAACAATTTGACAATAACACCCGAAGGCAACTTTCACGGAGCACCAGTGTCTCGTGGAACATCGGTTGAAAATCACTCCTGATTGGAGTATTTGGTTGTATTAAGTTAATCGACGCCTCAAACGGAATGAAGATATAACGTGAGGTCGAAATTCACACGAAAAATACGGTACCGGTACAGGTACCATAGCAGTTGGAGATTGATATAAAAAAGGGAAAAGCCGTATTAAATGACGCAAAGACAGAAGTGATTTCATTAGTTCAAATGAAAGATATAATCATAAAGATTGTGAGTAAAGACTCTGCAACGGGATTCGATTTGAAGGGGCTACTTGACCGGAATTACAATTGGAATATACTAACTTGGGGAAAAGTCGAGCTGATAACATAACTCTTGAAGGCGTACGACAAACATCTTTTCGTGCCGGCATGTCATTCTGTATTTACTGTTGGTTTGTATCGCCTAATATCAATGGCTAGAGGTAGAAAAACGCGTAGCAAATTCAAATCCAGGGTTACAAAGAACAAAATTACAATGTATAATATTTTTATACCTAGCAAATCGAGGAAATATAAATAAGACTTATCTAAGACGGGCTGTTCGTAGCTAAAAACAGTAATACCATTTCGAAATGTTATGAGCTTTCTTAGATGAGCACAAACCCTGTCTATATATATTCTGGCAGAGATTTAGGAAAGACAAACACGTTCTTCTTCTTCAATGGATCTCAGTTTCACACTACTTTGATATAACATTCGCTATGCATTATAAGGTAAGCAAACAGCAACAAGTGTTGATAGATATCAAATTCCTCCCATATTGTCAATAAACTTGAAAAATGAGATTATGGGATTTCAGAGTTTGCACTGTTAATTGATGTTCTCCGACCATAGAATTTTTTGTTCATCACGATGACCGATCAGCAATAAGCTAAGAATTAGGGTGTCAATTAATATTTTTACTAAACATCAGAGTCGGGCCTTATGTGACATTTGTCCTTTTTTAACAAAAACCTGTGGGAAACGTCCATTACCGCGTAACATTCTTTTCTTAGAATTAAATTTGCTTACGATTTCGGATTTCCATTTTACCTGATATGCCAAAAAGTTGGGGAGTAACAATTTGACAATAACACCCGAAGGCAACTTTCACGGAGCACCAGTGTCTCGTGGAACATCGGTTGAAAATCACTCCTGATTGGAGTATTTGGTTGTATTAAGTTAATCGACGCCTCAAACGGAATGAAGATATAACGTGAGGTCGAAATTCACACGAAAAATACGGTACCGGTACAGGTACCATAGCAGTTGGAGATTGATATAAAAAAGGGAAAAGCCGTATTAAATGACGCAAAGACAGAAGTGATTTCATTAGTTCAAATGAAAGATATAATCATAAAGATTGTGAGTAAAGACTCTGCAACGGGATTCGATTTGAAGGGGCTACTTGACCGGAATTACAATTGGAATATACTAACTTGGGGAAAAGTCGAGCTGATAACATAACTCTTGAAGGCGTACGACAAACATCTTTTCGTGCCGGCATGTCATTCTGTATTTACTGTTGGTTTGTATCGCCTAATATCAAGATAAACAAAGCCCATCCACCAGAATTAAAAGTATTTGGATAAAAGATTGGATTTAAAGTTGAATTGTGGACGATCTGTTATGGGTGTTTTGCGAGGATTGGGTTCTTTGATGAATCTAGTTGTGGATGATAGAACAGAGCTCAGAAAATACTGCACCTGTTGGAATGATGGTTGTGCGTGGAAATTCGATATTAATGTTGCAACCGATTTAACAATCTTTTCAAGACATTTAAATTTGGCATATATATGCAGATATTCCGTATAGGATTGTATAAATTATTATTACTGTAGCTTGAGTGCTTCAAAAGTAAAACAGCCCGAAGGTTCAATACCTTCGCGTATCTTTTGTTTCTTTATTTCTGGCCCAACCCTTGTTTAACTAGGTTTGTGTTTTTTGTCATTTTTTTTTGTGTGTGTGTGCTGGTGGGCGGGCACTTGATATTTTTCATGTTTTAAACTTTTTTAAAGGTTTTGCTCGTTCTCCAGAATTCTCCATTTATATTTTGTATGTATTATGGAGTTTTCAAAAAAATAAAATCTGCTCAAATGCAAACAATGTCTACATCCGTAATATAAGATTTATTCATCATCAAAATAAAAAGTAATAGCAATAAGAAAACAGAAAAAAATACAAGAGCAATGAAAAAATTGGTGTCAGCATTAGGACATGTAAGGCAAAATTATTACATTGTTTTAAGCATTCTTGGGGATTCCACTGACAGCAACGTTACGGTTCAATGGTCAAACTTCAAGATATGGTTCTGCCAGGATTGCAACCATGACGAAAAAGAATCCCCATTTCTGACAATAAAATATACTTTTTTAGTTCATAAAAGATTGCTACAGATAACTGATGTAAGAAATCTTCTTCTCACTACATATATTCATAACACAAGGCAATGTCATATGTTTTCTCTCAAAGAGGTCCATGATTAATGTGAACTCGGTCTAACAATGAATGGTCTTGCCATGAATTTTGACAAACATGGAATTCGATAGTTCCAATACAATAAAGACAAACGAAGATTGTTACATTCACCATTGTACAGTGCAATTACTTACGGCATTATGTTCACAATTATTATTAAAAATTTTAATTAGGCCCTTATGCTTAGTAATCCAGAATTACTTGATGCTATAATCAGATTTAATATGTTCAAATTGTCAATTACAAGAATAAATTTTTATCACGAAATCAACTTGCATGTTCGGGAATAGGAAAATGACGCAACTAATCGCAATACACCCTAAGTCACCAAAATGCAAAAAATGATATTCTATACCAAAACTATATATATACACAACCATCTGGCAGTAAATGAGCTATTTAGTAAGTATAATTGCTAATATGATAACACATTGCCAAAACCAGGATAATCTTTAAAAACGAAGCATAAAACTATTCCTTCTATAAATTCTTGTGGAGGCATAAGCCATTGCACGCTTTCCCAACAAGAACAACAGTAACCACTATCAATATATGCAGCATAACATTGCTATTCACAACCATAGGGAATCTTTTTCGAACTATTTTGAGATTGGGCTATGATTTGACATACCAATGTAGGAAAGATAAACTTATATTTTGCTGCAACACTATTCTTAATCTTCTTTTTTACTAATTTGAGACATGAAGTTGAGCTCGACTTAAACGCAAAATTACGTTTGTTGAATTGTGATAAGTACAAATAAATAGGTAGCAGTAACATTAGGAAACAACGAATGCTATTACCATGGATAAATTACAGAAAGCCTATACCTTTTAGTATAAACTAAACCTCAAGTAAAATAACATACAAATATATGTCATATTAAATTTGTGTTCTTTTAAGTAAATAACACGCAATGAATCAACAATATAAATATCCATTTCATTCAGCAGCCCAACAAGATTGAATAAAAAGTATGCAAAGTTCATTCTAGCAGCTTTGATATATTGAGAGAGAGTGCTGGTAGTGAGATGAAACACGATTGAGAGATGAAGAAATAAAAATCAGATCTACATTGTTGATAACGCTCGACCAACCAACTAAACAGGAGCAAATTCAAAGGGTAGTCTTTAGAAAAATGCATTTCAAATTTGAATCACTTTATAGTATGATACAGGCAACGTATAGTATTGTACATATAATACATACATTGTACATATGAGTAAAACATTGAACATATTTTATGGACAGAAAAATTGTCCGAAAATAAGTTTCGAATGATGATATGATCAAATGCACTGCTTCTTTGAAACATCTCAATGCGAAACTCAAGTCATATTGGTAATGATTCAAACAAATTATTAGGACAGCAAAATCGAGAAAATGGGGTACTGAATACAATTTCATTTCGAAATTTGATTTAAATGCAATTTAAACAGCAGAGCTCATGGGCCTACACCTCACAGAAAATGATTAAGTAGAATATCTTATATCTTGTTTAGACACGTTAGTTGGTCGAGAATTGATCAGTAACAAATTACTGATTAAAAAAATCAGCTCGTTATTATGTTAAAACAAAAATGCTGCCTCGTGATTGCAAACAAAATATCCAACGAGTTTAAAAAATAAAATACAAAGAAAAAAAATGGTCAAAAAGCAGAAAATTGTAAAAAAGGAAATATTTATAACGCAAGGTCGGGAAGATTGCATATTAAAACAGTATATGGATGGATTATGTGTGTTTATTTGTCTTTAAAACCGAGAATAAGGTACTGCTTTGTGCGACTGGAGGAACGACGTCAGGCTGCATCTGTCGACCATGGACGGAGATAATGATTGTACATTTGCGATCTGACCAGAGCAAGTGCAAGATGCTGTACTACAATGTATGGAGGGTTTGAAAACCATTGAGCAAGCACTGGACAAATATTGTACCGGACAACGCTGAACATGGCCTTTCACAAAAAGACAATGCAACAGGAGAAAGTCACCAAATTGTCTGAAAATATTTGTGTTCTTTTTCTGACATCATTGGTGCCGATCATTGCCATGACAACGTGGTCAACATCAGTAAGGTGAAAAACGATATCCTCTGTAAGCAGCCAGTGCAGTCTGTATAAATAATAACATATTATCAGATTAATTTTTAATATATTATAAATACGAGTCTTCATTTTAATTTCCTAAAGTAATCATCTTACTTAATCCCATCACAGGTCGCAGTATGGTGCAATTTGAATAAGCGAATACCACAGCGCATGAAAACCAAACACTTCGTTCGCAGACATGCGTCAGAGAAAGTCCCTCAGGGAATCACACTATTTTTGAACAACACCATTTGAGAGGAGAAATTACTCACAGCTTATAACTTGTACTCAATCATGAGATAGGATTAAAACGCTTTGAGAATGAGTCACAGCGTGGGCACACTCTAGATAGCTCAAGATAAAACATAAACGCAACTGTTTTTAGTGGAGTAAGTTTTCCAAGAGTTTATGGAAATGAAAGATTGTATTGAAATGAACTAAGTTCTGAATTGAGCAAGTTGAATTTGCATTCCTAATAAGCCAAATACTTAGATCCTAAGTAAACCATTTTATTTCTCCAGTCGAAATATAAATCAGTAAGGACTAGTGAACTTAATTAAGTTAACATTACCGATTCAATATATAGTTTTCATAATTGGATTTAAAAAACTCATTTAAAATTCAAGAGCTTAGCATAATTTGCTGAATTAGTGCCATACTAAAATGGATGTCCTAAATGTATCTTAAATTAGCTTACTAAGTTAAGTTGATTTCACTAATTAAATTTTTAACAATACAACCAAATGCAAAAAATTTGTCCAACAATCCTTATACCATGAATAGCCCAAATTGGATAATAATGTCTGATGTATTGGGAAAATGTTTGAACGTTTTTTTGGTTGCTAAAATCGTGTTTAGAAGACAACAAACTTAGAAAATGACTACATTTTTTTAGATATTCAAACATTCCATGAATTTTAAGCATCCCTATTATTGAGATTTGATTAATACATACGATAATACCCATACATGCATACTCACAACCAATACACGCACCATCGACTAATCCACAGAGCATCATACTGTATTGCAGATATGCTCACAGGTTTATAAAGCATGATTACTATGATGAAGCAGAAGCACAATAATGTTCTCGTGACCAAACATATTTTTTTTTGTCTGTTTGTGGGTAGCAAAATCGCTAAACATGTCATGCGAAATCTGATTGCCCAGAGGAATTAACATTAAAAATGTCAACATTGACTAATTTCACGCCTATTTTATTAGGCAACCAGAAGAAATTGAACGACAAAAACCAAATTAGTAATTACCGGCACATTCTAAACTATGGACTCAAATCTATGCTTTTTGAAAAATATTCATTAATTATACACAGTCATGTATGGTCCGCACCAAGGAGGTGTGGTGCATCTACAGATCATGCCTCAGATAGAAAAGTCTGTGGATTACGCTTTAAGATGTAGTTTGTAGAATGACCTTACTTTATAACGACCTTACTTTATAACAAGAAATAAATGACATCAATCTGAACTATTTTTAACGAACAATGATTAATTTAAATTATCATCATAAAAACATTATATGAATATATTTAAATACACCCAAAAATAAAATATTCCAGCAAAAAAGACCTGGCAATAGGTAAATTCATATTCATATTACGGTAATTCATATTACAGAAAACTTCTTTTTCTTCATTAAATTAGCGATAAAATGCACCATATAATGTAACATAGTGTCACAGTTAGACATGAAATCAGCGATAAATAATGTTAGATGATGGTTTTATGTAAAAGCATATAACTCAGAAAAAAAAATTCTCAATAAAATTTTTTTGCTGAAATATTTCTTTATCAATTTTTCATTTTAGTAATCTAAATATATAAACGATGACTCTGCACCTACTACCGAGAAAAAAAATATACACAGCTCCATATGTTTGGTTGGTGTGCACTGAATAAAAAACATGCTGGCATGCAAGTGTTCGAGAGACTTTAATGCGTGTCTCTCTAAGCCCAAAACATAGATAGTAACACGTTTTACCACTAATAGAACAAAATTTCGAATGACTGATGATATTTGTCAAGCAATAAAAATATAAAATATGATGGTAATACTTGCAATAATGTTTACTATTTCTGTTGTGTGAATGAACTAAGATAAGATCCTAATATTAATTGTTATATGTCAACTAAACATTTTACAACATGCATTTGGACCTAGTTAAGACAATATTTTTTTATATGTACATCATTCACGTATGAATATAAAGTTTGAAGAATTTAGTATCATTTGAATTTAAAACAGAATCATAATATTGATGTTGTATTAAAAAAGGATTGAATATGAATGGCTTCATTAATTTTGAAAGCTTCTAACAAACTCCTTTGATTTCAAATATCTGCTTGAATTAGGAAGTGCAAATTATGGAATTTGAGATAAGAAACTAGATTACATAGGCTAGGCTTACTTAGCAGAGTTACAATAAACTAAGTAACCTAACCTAGTTACTACAACATTATGAATCGGCATCTAATTTACACTACTTAGATGATGATTGCGCATACGATGATATAGAGAAAAAATCTTACGACAGCATTAAAACAACAGTTAAGAGCCATTCATACTGTTAGCTGACAAAAGTGTTGTTGATAATATTGATGACACAATCAAAACCTTGCTCGATGAGTTACTAATTCACACTTGGCCGGATATGTTCCAACCGTAATCCTATTGGTTTGAGCTCTGGTAGCTCAAAGTGGAACATATCAAGCCAAGAGTGTTCAGTAACGAAAGCTAACTAACTGCTGTTAGTAGGATGTCGTATTGAATATTGCGACATTAAATAATGTACATCATCATCATAGATAGTTTTGGATTCTTGCTTGCATGCCAGCATGCGACCGAACGTTCGCTCGGTTGTCTCGTTTTAAAATTCAGCACTCACCTACCTTACGCCTTTGCCTCCTCAATGCGCAAGTTTTGGCATGTGCGGTTTAGAAAATACTGATTTGGGATTTGTGCTACAAAACTGTAGCGAGGCCAAAAGCAGACTGAAAGAGAAAGAATATTAAATTCGAAAACTAGAACAAATACTAAAAACTCTCCTAAAATTGCGGCATCACAAAATCCAACATCAATTTATACTTAATCCTATAACAAACAAAGATGTGTCCATAATGTAACAAAACTATAATAATTGGAATTCATTGAGTTTTTATATTTCAAGATGTAAAATAATTAGTTTGAATTCTATCTTTTCTTCTCAAAAAAGTTAAAAATTGAATAATTTATTAATTTGAATACATTTCAAAATATTGTTTTCGATTATGGAATAATGAAAATATATTTTATATATTCCAACGAATATTCCAAGTTTGAAATAGAGTTAAGTTAAGTTTAGATTGATTTTACAAGTTTTCAAAAATTGGATGAAAGATTACCGACCATTCTGCGAGACTTTAATTGCTAACAAGATTAGCATAATTAGTATGTTGAGACTTGGAGAGTAATTTTAAGAAGAACAACCTGAACACTTTCAGTGATTACAAAATGGCAAAAACTATTCATTTTATTCCTCAGAGAGACAATATGAAAAAGAAAGTTCCGGTGTGATACAGATCTGTCTCTATGTTTTATTCCGGTCCCAAGAGATAACGAGTAAAACCATAAAATAAAAGATGTAGGGCTAGATTAGTGAATTGATTATTATGAAAGCAGAAATCTATATCACTTATCCACTTGTCAAATATGAATCAAAGATAGGCCACACATTGTCCCATAGCCCATATATAGAAGTAAATTTGAGAGAGAAAATCAGTTTCGATTCATGGAAGATGGAACAATAAATTGTGATAAAATATTCTAAAGATACAATTCATAGTAATTTAAATAAGTTTAGACTGGTTATTTAAAAGTAAAAATATTAAAATTGCTTGCTGGAATAAACCCAATAAACTCTGAATTTGGGCAAATGACTTATTTACCTGACCATCAAGTTACCACAATACTCATACAATATACAATATAAAACAATACAATATAAAAACAATATAATAACTAGTACTCACAGCTTGTGCGGTTGGAGTGAGCGTCGCCTGTTGGTATGGATCAGCATAGACTGCAGTCGGTGTGGCTCCAGCTACTGCACCTGCTTGGTAAGCTACAGCTCCTGCCGTTGTTGTGTAAGCAGTAGCTGCATTTGAGTAAACAGCCTGAAATAATTGGATTGCAAATTTATATTTCACTTCTATGTGTCAGAGAAAAAAACTCATCAATTATTAATAAGCCCATGTTATTTGTGAATTGAAATATTCCTATTCAAACTAGATGTCTCGGAACATTTTTTTAAGGTAGTACATTCGAGAACAGTGTTCTTCAACAATCTTATTCTCATGCAACCCACGATTTCGGGCTAATCATAGGACCCATCAGGTGAAATGGAAAAACAGGGATGTACGAAATTGTACAGTAGAAAATGGCGTTCCCCAAATATGTATAGGAGAAACTGACAAAGTCCGCCCAAACTCAAAAAGCCTACAGAATACGTGAAACTCATGGAAATCTGATTTGAGTGTTTAGCAAAACAATGGGGTTCCATGTAACCCTGGTTGGAAAGTACTGTTAAAAAGGTATAACACTAATGAATTCAATTCAACTGTACTGGTATATCAAGTTGCTCATAAATTAATTTGGCTAGCTTTGTCATCCCTATGAAGACCTAGCTATGTATAATAATGCCTACCAAATCCTAGTAAAAACAGACTATAAATTGTTTACAAATAGGTACCTGGGCCATGGTGACTTGTCCTGGTAGAGCTGCATAAGCAAGTGTACCACCCGGTTGTGCAGCAGCAACTGCTCCTGTGCCAGCAGCTATGTACCTCGTTGCTGCATACTGTGGCATTTGCTGTAGTGTTGCATAAGCTGTAGGTGTACCTTGTGCTGCTGCGAGGCCTGGTATTCCGGCAGATTGCTATGAGGAAAATTTTATTTAGTATGAAGCCTAATTTCATAACTAATCATAATGCGAAAATGTGGTTGCCCAGACAAGATAAACAACATAATATTTTCAGTTGTCACATTCTAAAAATACACTGTACTCCAATATCAACTTCAATTGATACTTTTATTCCAGACCAGTTAAACCAGGGTTTCTCAAACTGGTCCACAAAGCAGTTCTCTGACTATGTGTCTCACTGTGTACTTCCTGCGATAACCCTGTTATTTTATATTATCTTAGCTGCGATTTGTTAATTTAGTTGACCGTAATTTCATCTTTTACTTTAATTTGTTGGCTTTTTCGTATTAAATGTAGCGAATAACTTAAATGATAGAGACTGAACAGGAGCCATGAAGAGTCTTTGGAAGTGCGAAGAACACTGAGTTAAAAACCATAGGATTTTTATATAAAATTATTTAATTTCCTTATCGCATTATTGGCTGTATTCTTATTCGTCAATTATTATTAAATACGAAGTAAATCATGACATGAGAATGACACCACATTCACATGATTGAGCATTTTTCTTTCGAGAACTTTCCTCACGCAAGATATACCTATAAGAAATCCCACTAATGAATGTTTGATACTAAAATGGCTCTCTGCCAATAATACTGTTCATATAACATTATTAATACCGTGGTCATATGACTCTTACCCAGAATGTTTGTGCTTGTGGGAATTCCTGTCCTGCTACTGCTCCAGATAGAGCCATAGTTGGATAGCTTTCATAAACCACTCTGTAAAATAAAGGTTCTCATTAATAGAATGAAGATGAAAGGATATAGCACAGCAGACCCTTGGGATAAGACCTATAAAACGACTTTAATATATGAGAGAATGCTTAAGAGAAAGCTATAGGGAATCACTACATAACCACAGTCACAGTAAGAAATGTAACAGAATAATGATTATTGACATTCATGGCGATTTGGTACAATATCTTATGCATACATAGTTTAATAAGTAGATAAGATATTACTTACGGTATAAGTCCATTCGATTGTAAAGCTGCGAGTTGTGGTGCAGCAATAGCGGTACCGGGTCTGAGTGCTGTTGTTTGATAAATGCTTCTTCCTCTGCCACCTAATAAGGCAGCTTGTCTGTAGGCATTTGCTGTCACTGGATTCAACCTTGCTACTGCAGCAGCTGGATATGGTGAAATTTTTATATTATATATGATATATTTGAAATATATTACCGTAATAAAAGCAGTATACAGAGTTCTTAATGATCATAATTAACTTAATGAGATTAACACAAAGATATATTGCTTTTAAATGCTGAAAAAACAGAAAAGGCGTCAGGGACTATATATTTAAATGAGTTCAATACTTCAAATACAATATATTCAAGCAACAACTGAATATGTATAGTTTCATTTGATTAGTAAATTCATATTATGAATACATGAAAAAAGTTATTGTGCTAAAACTTGTTAGGTAACTAGAAAGCATACTTCGATGATCACAAAGATGAAAATAATTCTGTAACCTACACATACATGCTGTAAGATACAATTTTACCAACGAATATCATTACAATTTGTGTTAAATGGCAAATACTTTATTGAATTATTCAATTTATAGAACCTCTATGAAGTTTCGAATTGATTATTCCTATTTTTTTATAGCGGCAAATTTTAAATTATTTAAAAATCAATTAAAATTGAAACGCAAGGCAGGTATGACTTCACAATGAAACTCCATGCGTGGGTGGATCACAATGTTATATATTTAAATCTATACAATAATCATGCAAAATAAAACTATATTTGCATGCAACCGTCCATCCATCACAAAACAATAGATAATATCATGAATATACATCAATTTATGTAAATGAATCAACAATGTAGAGATTGTGTTTAGTTTCAATACGTTTCTGAAAGACAATCTTGCTTAGACAACCTCGTTTTTAATAAAAATGGAATGAATTACTGGAACAATTTAGCATTCAATATGAATTTGAATCGATTCAGTACCTATTCGCCAAATAGTAAATACCTAAAACGCCGGAAAATTACTTGTATGCAATGTTTTGCCATGGATGGATATGATAGATAGGGGTGTTCAAATCATTTTCATAGAATCCTACATTTGTAGTAAGTATTCAAGAGAAATACCATAATTTAGGAAATAGTAGAATTCATAATAGCATTCATAAAATGAACACTGATTCTGATGAAAACAGTATGGGAATTGATATGAACATCCCTATTTTGATCATACTAGTAAACGTTAAGCACTGTTACATACCATATGGGTCGGTTGCAATCAGATTAGGCACCATCTGAGCCATTTTCAAACCTGGTGACACAAACAGCACAAAGGTGTTTGTAAATGCAAAACAAAGTGCAAAAGGAAGGACTTCAGAAGGACAGATATGATTCAAATATTGCAATCAGATTGAGCAAAAGAGTATTGATGAGGAAGGTAAACCAACAGGAATTTTATTTCAATTCAGTTAATTTAAAAAAAAACATAATACAAATCAACACATCAAAAGCTTAAAAAATCAGAAGATTACATGCTTCAAACAAATTTTCCCGTAAGGCTGATGAACATTGGCCATACTGAGTAGCTGTTGACTAGGTTAGCCTTTTAATACTAAAATGTTTTGAAATGAATACATTTCAATGTTGAAATCCCCACATTGTTAATAAAAATAAAACTTTACATTTAATGCTATATTCGTTGTTTACATACATATTCGTATCCTTCAATCTCAAACAGCTAACAAATCTGATTGCAATTTAACGAGAAAGACAAATTAACAAAACAGGGAAGAAAATTCAAGTATATTCTACTGATATCATTTTCTTATAGTAATTAAAAGGGTTAATATTGCGCCAAAGAATCACCAAATAAATAATAAATATAGAAAGTAATTTGCATATGGATTAGACTGGTATTTGAAAAGAGATTATTGTGCATAATGGCTTTCGTATTCAGAGGTAGCTAATCAATAAGGGTGCCAAAAGAGAATGAACATCTATTCGTGAAATGGTATTAAGAAACTGAACATAAGATCAATGAAATTAGAAGCAAGTTAAAACAAGCAACTCCATTGATTTGATTTAAAATCTGGACTTTACTGTTCGCAGATCACAAAAGACATTGGGGAAAAATTGATCGAAAATCATTTTAAATATAATCATAGCAAACAATATATATCCAATATATCAGGCAGGGCATGGATTATATTGCTGCTATTGAAACTTGTAATATGTAAAAATACATTGTGATTTATATAGCATGCTTTTTAACAGGGACAATGAGCAAAAAAACTATGTTACTGAATGATACAGTTGGAGCTTTCTATATTCAAATTAATATGAGCACCTCATTTCATGACTTATCACTAAATTGAATCATTAAATTCGGGAATACACCAAATTTTTAGTTGAACTAACAATGGCTGCACTCTTTTAATAATCATTTTCACTGCATAACAATTGCAAAATATACAGAACTACACAAAACACCACTTTGTTCAATAAGAAGTAGCAAAATTGCGACAAAAATTCACTACAAACTACTGACATGCATCATGCAATATTTTCATACCATTAATTAGAGGTAAAGCTGGTTTCTTTGTCTGTACTCTGGCTGTGGCATCATTCACCTAAATCAATGAGTCCGAATTAGCAAATCACTATCCTTTAGATTGCATTAAACTTCACAAGCAGGAGTAGAACAGAAGCGAGTGGAAATAGAAAAAATTAAAAGACAAAAGCATTCATATTATATATTTAAATCATTACCTCAATTTTTCGACCTTCTACAATATTTCCATTCAATGCTTTTTTAGCACGTTCTGCTTCTTCTTTCGTTTCAAATGTTATGAATCCGAAACCCTGGACAAAAAATTGTGAAAGTATTATACAATAAAACTAACAGGTAACAAATGCATCAATTCAAATGACCATCACATTTTTGACCTACCTTAGAACCTCTTTCATTAAAAATGATCTCAACATCCGCAATATTGCCGTATTTCTGTTGATAAAAAAGACAAAATCATAAAAAATTTATCAATTATAAAAATTTTATCAACACATAAAAAGATTACCCCAACTTACCCCGAACATATTTCTCAGGTCAGGATCCCTAAATCGGAAGGGAATATTGGAGACATGCAGCCTTTTGCTTTGTCCTGAGGAGTCGCCGGCATGAGATGCTACCGAACCATCACTTGCTGATGACTGGATGTCAACAAAAAATAAACATGCAAGAGTCATGCACCCAGTATCATTGAGAATTACTTAGGTTAGTTAATTATAAAATAATATGATGAAATGTCAACAGAACCACTTCACAATACTACAGTAGAAAGTAAACACTATTTACAAAGATATAATAGATTCATCACTAGCAGTATGATATTTTACATATCCTATTAAATGAACAAGCGGTTTTCTATATGTGACGATTAGTGCAATTACTAAAAGCCGAGCAGGCAGTATTATTTGTCTACATTAGCTCACACCAATTTTCATTCCATTCATTTTTATGAACCCTCTCAGGCATAAAGATTATTTGAACCAAATTTAGTAGAATGAATTTACAATGCTTAAAAATGACTTAGTCATTTTCCAAAGAAGCATAACGGTTTAGACCCATTTCAATTCCAACCATATAATTTGCGCTGATCACAAAAACAACTGGAACTGCCCTTTATGAATAATTTAAGTTCATTTTAGTAAAAGGTATAGTCCTCAGTTTTTTTTTTTTTCTATTTCAAATAAATGTGTAAAATGATTCCGTCTTATATGTACAAATACGACAGATTATTCACAAGTACGATTGCAGTCAATACCAAATCAATGCAACAAACACCTCCTGAATACACAGACGAGTTAGTCTGAACAGTCAATGTATTTTTTTTATAAATTGTCTTGTCAATTTAAACAGGATTTACAGTTAAAGCAATTTAGACCTTGTGAAAAGCCTCTGCCCACATAAATATTTTATAATTTGGCGACATGAACATTATTTCACTATGGTGATACAAGACAGTACCCAGCTAGGAATGAAGCTACTATAAAACAACAACTAAAAAAACTGCAAAATGGATGACTAAACAAAGAACAAAATTAGTATGAAAAAATTGATGCTAAATTTGTCGAGCAAGTATTACTCATTTTTAGAGAAACTGAGATCTATTATATACAGGGAGCGTTTCCTGAATTCCAAAAAGGGTTTTCTTAGTATTTCTCATCCTAAAATGAGTAAACTACAAGTTGGTAAATTGCAAAATGAGTGCATACGCATTGCTGGAAAAGATTCTGCATTAACAAATCATATCACCGACATCAACATTCAAATTAGAAAAAGAATTATAAGGAAATTGTGGATGCAAATGTTTAAACTTTTGCTCAAAGTAATTTTTTGCATTGACATTTGCAAATAGGAAAGTTGAATTTGAAAGAATAATCATTCCTAAATATTACTTTCCTATAAACAAATGTCGCATGCCTTATCATTAATTGGAATCTAAACTACAAAATATCATCTAGCTCCGGAAAATCACATATGACACCGGATGCTGTGCATCTTGAAAAAATGTAAAATTACATAAAACAAAAGAGAAAATAACTTTCAAGAAAAAATGTACTCGGCAAGGCCACAGAGATGAGGATTAGGAAAAGACAGAAGAAAGATCAAAAGCTTCATGTCCACAATAAGATGGCGACAGTGTTCCCTCGTGATACATTGGTATGGTGCAGGCAATCATGCAAGCTTTTTGTCACAGGGTGTTATGATGCCAAGAAACCTTAGACGCCAAGCGGTGAACATCTCCCACAGGCTCGACACACAACGATGTCTAAGGTTACGTACAAACCCACAACAGGGGCTGTTTGAAAAGGGGAGAGGGAACACTGAGCGAGGCAACCAACGATTGCATGTTATTTGTTGTATGTCAAGAGTTCTTAACACAAATATTACACATAAATAGTGCTTGTGGAAGGACAGACAGAGATCATTGGTTCATTCATGATATATAAATTCAAGCTATTTTCAAAACAAGCCATCCTCCGTTCACAATACCTCACCCAGACTGAAAGTAACTACTGTAATGAACACAATCCACCTTTTAGGTGTTCTGACTTTCTGTAGTTCCTTGCTGTAAAATTGGGTTGATTTTGCAACAATTGAAAAAGCACTATAACATGAAAAATATGTCAATATAATTAGGAGTACGGCCTGACTCTTTTATCAATATGATTTTATAATATTCACCATCAATACTTCAAATAAAATTTAATTCTGTATTTATGGGTAGAAATAACTCACCGTCGTTGCACCTGGAGTTTCGCCTGTTGTACTTGCGGCTGTGGAGATTACTTGTGCATTTCCTGGCAAAGATGGCATGGCTGCCACTGAGCCAGGAATGCCATTTGGATCAACCATAACCATTTGCTGACCATTTGGCATTGCTAGTTGACCAGGTATTGTTCCTTCCACCGGGGGCTGTAAGTCAAAGTATTTGTTATTAAAAATCCAAGTACCTTAAAATTTGTAATACACAATCAATATGCACTTACTGGTGGAGGGACAACCTGTGCCGCTGAACCAACAACTTGGCCTGTCGCAACCTGCTGTGCTTGAACAAACTCTTGTGCCGCATGACCATTAGGTATAATATAAGCTTGGGGAAACATTCCTGGATGTTGAAGTTGTGCCATTGACTCAAGCTTCACTTGCCCTGGGATAGTCTGTGCGGTCATCTGTAGTCTATTGATAGGGTATCCTGATACTGGAACAGGCACACCGTGGGGAAATTGATGCGAAGGAATATTAGCGCCCGGTATTCCTCCAAAAGCCGGAGGCGGGATTTGAATTTGGTATGCTGTAGCCTGAGCTGCAGTTGTGTATTCTTCACGTGCCGACGCAACAACAGATGTACTGGACACTGTTGTAGTACTGCTTTTCGCTTCGATTTCCTGTTTGATAAAAAAATATATTTTCTCAAACTCCAATATTTATGACAATACCTTTAGAACTTGTTAGCATGTTATGTCAAAAGTATGATCAACGTTTTCAATTCATGAACAGTAAATGTATAAGAAAAACATTTGTAAAATTATAAACAATCAAGACAACAAATTAGAAATCAAAAACTTGTTCTAAACACAATGAGCAATTATAGAAAACCTGAAGATCTAGGAAATACAACTTTTGTTAGTATAAAATTTACCAAACAACTTGATAAAAATTTCACCAAATAAAACAGGCAAATTTGGTCTCTAAAATTTTGAGACATGATAAGGAAATGCAAATTAATGTAGCAAAGTAGATTAAGCATGAACCTGTTGTATGAGGCATACACAACAATTTGTAATTTAATACCAGGATATGGTCTTATCAGGAAAATTTCCCAACACTAACCAGATACTTATCTATACATTAGTCACATATATTGTTAAGCATGACAGTTTATTATGTTATCTCACTGAGAGATCAACCATTTTGTTTTACAATATTACACATTGATGTATACAAGCGTTAATCAATGCCGTTTATGTGGTAATTGAAAATATCCTTTCCTCATTTTATAATTCCTAACCTGTTTTATTTGAACTGGTATCTGCTGAGGAATTGGAGACATTTGCTGGTTTGAAATAGTGGTAGGCTGCGATGTGGTCCAATCCGTACTGGACGTGCCAAGCATAATACAAAACTGTATGTAAATCTAAGTACGTTCACGCAATACTTCCCGAGCTATTAATACGAAATCCCCTGCAATATAGCAATATCCGGTATTTGTAATAGGATAAATAAATCCAATTATATTCTTTGTAACTACTGGTCTTTTCTTCGTGGTACAGCGTATAATAAACCTTATAACTGATGAAACATTCAACTACAAGGCTGAAGAGTTACAGTCAGATTATAAAAGCGCAAGTGCTAACCGCCGCTTCAATATCGTCGCCTCCGAGAGAGAAAAAATGAGCGGCTGTGACGGTGTCAGTCTTCACCCTTTGTAACATATGTCACGCTACGCCCCGACAAGGCAAACGCAGATTAATTATATTTATTACTCTGAAGTGCGACCGCCTGTAACTTACCCGCAGAATATATTCTTATATAAAATGCAAATCGGCTTTAAACTTCCTAAAGGTCGTCGACTGCCAGCGGGAAGAAAATCAATAGAAAGTTTGGCCATATCACCGCCTCTCGCCAATGATTACGATCAATTTTCGTAGCTAATGTGCTAAAACGCACAAGAAAGAGCAAGCGTAATTTTTCACGCTAGATGCTGACGGAATAATCACATACCGTGTTCGGAAAAGTTCTGGACGACTGGCATAAGCGTAACAAAATACTTTGGTTTTGAGGTTCGATGCACAATTGCTAATTTTTGCTGACGACGACGATCAATAGTTATGGCAGTCGTAGGCGCATATACATTTAAATCAAAGCCAAAATTTCCACCGATGGCATAACGTCCGCGAAAATAAAGGGCTTTCAGCCAACTCTGCTCTGCATCGGTTATCAAAAATGCGAACAATGAATTGTCTAACCTCGATGAACGTACAAAGAAACAAAAAATATCAACCGCCTATTTCTTTTCCCTGGAGGAGCTTTGACGGTTGCGTCGATGGACAGCTGTATCAGATTTTGATTAACTGACTCGTGCTTCACCTTTGGGATTCGATGAGCATTTATTAATAGGCCATTGCTAGATCATGCTTAGGCCAAGGACCAACGTAGGTCGAAAACGAAAGCAGTCTCTAACCATCATTTCCAAACGAAAGATTTGCTACAGCGCGGGAACATACCAACAGAAATCACTCAAAACTTAAGCCTTCTATCTTATGCATTATGAGTCATATAAAGTCCCGAGCTTCCCAAGAGAGTTCCGCCCTGGCAGAAATAAACGGGCAATTAGTGTAAGAACTAAGAGATGAGAAACTGCTTGGCAGGTGCAATTTTCGTGAATCGAATATATAGCACGGTCAGCAGAAGTATAAGAACAATCAATTGAAATTGAGTTACTACCGACGAAAAGCTCAGGCTTATGCCAAGAGAACACAAGTGCATTTAATTCATATCGATTCTACTTTCGTCGTTGAGCGAAAATGGCGGCAAGGAAAAACTACATAACGAAAAATCCACAATATAATAGCGCTCAACATGCACATATTAAACAATGTCGCAAATCCACACCTTCTAGTCTAGCTCTAGAATCTAGATAACGAAACAACATTTGGGGATTGTTAGTGAAACATACGACCGACGTTGATGGAGTACGTCAAACCTGACTGCACCCAAATAAACCGATATTACATTTTCTAAGCCAGGTATCCAAAACACACATTGTCAGAACGATCATTTAGCCTATAATGGATCAGCGCACCCATGAAGGGTAAGAACGAACGAACGAACGATATTCATATTTTGTGAAAGAATACGAAAGTTATTTAATCAAACATCACTACAAATTAGTCAACAAACTACCGCCGCCATCGTGAACTTAGTATTTTCCCGGTCCTTAAATAACCAGCGTGAAATATTGCCGACTGTAACTTTAAAATTATGTGTCCAAAAATTACTTTTTCAGTGAATAGGACATTATTACTAATTATTGTGGGTGATATGGCGAATAAGAAACGTACAATATTATCGATTGTAACTTTAATGTGCCCACAAATTACTTTTACAGTAACTAGGATCTCTCGCCAATTATTGCGGAATATATGGCAAATAAGCAACGTAAAAAATTACCGATTGTTACTTGGAAATTATGTCCAAAAATTATCGTCTATGGGACTTATCGCCAATTATTTAGAGAAATCTGACAGAAACCTGCCGCTTATCGTCCTCATCCCGCTGTCATAAAACTCAAACTAATCAATTTTTGCTGCTAAAGTTATGGTGTCGACATCGTATTTGTTCGTGTGCGCCTTGGCCCAGTTAAAGTTAATTAGATTACTATCCACGTGGTAATGACGAGGCATGTAAAGAGCAACAACGCAAAATCTCACTTATTTATATGACGTCACTATGCTCATCTTCGATGCGAGATTGAAACTTGGAAACAGCTGTGTTCAAACTCTTCCACTTCCGATTGCTTCAAATATACACTACCAAAACTGATCTCATACGTTCTATAAAAGGCGAAAGGCGGTAAAAAGATGATATCATCCAAACTGCACAAAGACCAAGGACTCGTCCAAAAATACGTTAACGATCGAGAAAACATACGGCGGCCGCTCCTTATTCCATTCGGGATGAATAATTCATTCCAAAAGTCAAAACACGGTGGTATACCATCGCCTTCTCAATCGCTAAAACCACTGGAAAAATTGTACCACTTTAATCTGTATTGGGTATAGCGTGCGGCAAGCAAGGGGTTAGCAACGCATTGGGATCCTAATGCGTTTCCCACTCAGAGAGAGATCTGGCTTACGTCATTTTTATTTTAAGGCGTTGCGTCGAGTTCTATCAGTCTCAACCTAGCGACTGAGTTTTTCACGTCAAATGATAATGGATGGTGGGCGCCACTGCGCCCATCTTGAAATTCACAGGCTTGTTCTGCTATGGAAGAGCGATACAAAATGAACCAAAATCGTCATTAGTGCGCAACCAATTTTATCATAAGCCGTGGAATGTGGATATGCAGACACAAGATAAAGACCTCATCCAAAATAGCAAGTTTGAAGTGAAAACAGAACAGAAGCAATATACCCCCATTAGCGGTTGATAAGAACCAGTTATACACAGTTGCGCAAATGCCAGAACGTCGCCATTAGTTGTGTATCATAAACTGCGGTACGCAATCTACAATATCAGAAACTCAGCTCTAGAAATTTAATCCGATCGATATACAAAAATTGCACCGTGATGGAATATCGACAAAAACGTCCAAAGCAATAATTTGAAACAGAAGATAAATGATATGGCTGTTTTGATGAGCAAAAAAAAATGGAATTTCGAGAATAGGAATCCGTATTTACTGCTATCCAAATGTGATGCAGAAAAAGTCACTGGGAAGAAATCTTGTGCGGTTATCTGTGCACAAAACACAGTCACGATTGAACGGTTTGACGCCATAAAACTCACGACCACACCCATTTATAACATCAGTCTCGTCACAATATTTTAAACACTTCGTCGATGACAAGATATAGCCTAATATCACACAACGTGTCAAGATACAAAATCGTGGATAATATGCGGATTGATTTCACTTCATTTTATATGTTTTTTTACATTCGAATTTCCAATTTATTACACAAATTGTAAATTTAAAAATAAAACTTGCGATGTCGACTTTATACAATACCAGGGGAAATGATATTCTAGCGACATTCACGAAAGTCTCCGTTCAGCAATAACTTAGGGAGTCATTCGTTGAACTAACGGTAACCCATCCATTCAACTTTAATCGTGGTCATTCGCCACATAGGGAATGCAGGCATCAATGCCGTGTGCCGAGATATAACTACAATTCAAAAATAGCTCCCCAACCCCACCTAACGTCCAAGCCCAGGAAGAGATCAGAAAACCATCTATTCAATATATCTGATGACCGAGTGTTTCGAAGGATAAAAGACAGCGAAGAGAACTATAAAAGTATGGAATTGATTCCATATTACAGTCTACTGCTTCTACGGATCACAATTTTTAATGTCCAAAATTTCACAGGATAGTTCACAAGTGTAGGCAAAATTTACAGCGCGAAACAGTGCTAAACATTGAAACAAAAAAACTTACATATGTCAAACGGGTACACGTAAAATAATCTAATGAAATCACCACACCTTAAAATATTCCGAAGAAGGGTAGCAGATTAGAGTTCAATGAAGCGTTGAGGCCTCGCCACATAGGAAATGTAAACATACGTAAGGCGGGAAATGAAAGGTGGAAGATATATTTTACCCCAGAATCAAGCGTCATGGAGACGACTTTCCGTTAGTTAAAGCTTGAAGTAAACACGTTTCAGTCATTCCAGACAAATCGATTAAATACCAGGGTATACCAAGCATGGGAGACGGAATGGTTGCGCTATCTGTACTTTTTACCGATGATATCGAGCAGCCGTAAACAATTGCCCAATTTTATATGATCGCAAAAAATCTTTCACATTACATTAAAAAGCTAATACCTAACAGCGCGCTAAGAAAGAGTGGGCAGAGTAACTTAATGAAATATCTGTCGCTGAAACAAGCTACGCTACGAACGAGCTGTATGTGATTTCAACTTAGTTTTCATATTCATGAAATCATAAATCGGAAAGGTTCGCACACATGAACAATATGAATAAGATCACGATAACGGAATTTGGAAACAAATAAAAATATGGATAATAAAATTTGGTATGTTTGGCCCGAATCTATTACCCATGTAATAAGGAACATAGGAATATTTATCATGACAAGGTACATTTGGACCAACGTATAATAGCATACCAGACATCATGGTGATTTACACCCGCTAAGACGGCGTAACTATCATACCATATAATCCAATGCCCCTTATTGAGTGCGTAAATAGAAATGAATCATCCGTGAATGATTTTGCGTTAAATCGACAATAGCCTGGGGCGAAATATGGCGTAAAATAACAAAAGCGTCCGACATTCTCATCTATTCAAATTCAATGATTTCATCATAACAAAACATTTTGATTCGTGTACCTAACCTAACGTGTACAATATAGTATCAATTTAACATTGAATTATAGACTCGGGATGGATTTAAAAATGAACAAAAAGGAAAATGATGTTATGTTTAAATGAAAATAACTACAGTCTTAGAATATTGCCACGCATATTTGAATTCCAATATCTTTATGTTGATGGATAATAAGTATATGATACCAATTTTTACTTTGCAAGACTTTATGATTTGATTTAAAAAATATTAACATCCAAATTTGTAATAAATTTTATTAAGTTTTTTTTTTAAATTTTAGAGGGATTTCACGGACACGCTTTATATATAAAATACAGCCGGGACTCGGAGTACTTCTATAAAAGCGAATAGTATAAATCCCTGCAAACAGAATATAATAATACAAAAGCTTTTGAGGAGGTTGTTCAAATAACGCGTATAACCGACTATCTCCTAGTAACCCAACGTCCGCACAATGTATATCAACGATGACAAAACATCCCTTGAAATAACAAGAAACGATTAGGTAAAGACATCGCGAAATGTCAAAATCGAAACGAAATTACTCCCGTGAAACGCTAAATGTGAAGGAATATGATAGAGTTTGACAGACACACCCAATTGATTTAACAGTGCAACTGCCTACAACGAAACTGCGTGAACGCTTGTCTCACAAAACATAATACACGATTGAATGTGATAGGATAACTAGGTAATATAATTTCAAATGTGCCAAACAAGACATAATGTAACGGAAGCCTCATCAAAGCCGCTATGTTACGCATTAAAACGGCAAAATATTTGCCAATCCAATTTTACTCCTACTTGGCAAACAAATTAAATGGGACCACGAACATCTTTCATTCTATAACAGGTTATTAAAAATTACTTTATGGGTGTGGTTATCGGCGATTTATGTGAACAAGATAAAAGTGACAGTTGAAAATTTTAAATAGAACACAATTACTCACGTTCATAAAGTTCAACAATTAATTTTTGGTCTAATGCAAGAACTAAATTAAACTCCCTGCCCTTTAAAACCTAGTTCAATATATTTTAGCCTCAAATTACTGTACTAGTTCAATCATAATTTAACAAACAAAAAAACTTAATGTGTACAACATATAATTTACAAACGAGTGTGTGTGCTAGTAACTATTTACAGGAAATGACAACAGAGGACAAAGGAGAAATGTCAAATAGTTCACGGAACAGAGGAAATTGGCTATGACTAGTATAGCTAAATTTCAGTATCGAGTGGTTGATGGTTCTACCAACTCTGTGATTTCGCCGAAGCAATTTACACAATCTATGTTTTCCAGCTCTTAAGTAAAAGCTATTGCAGGTATAAAAATTCAACAAATTCGAATAAAAATCCTTTTTCTTGCTTGATACTTATAACCCAAATACAGTGATAAGCAAAAAAAATGTACCTTGACCTAAAAAATTATTCACCTTTTGACATTTAATCTATTGGAATTTAGTGTAATGAATGAGTTTACATTTTAAAAAGTGCCTGACATTTCATAGATGATATTCTATTAAGGGTTAAATAAATGTTTCAATCGCTACATTAAGTTCAAATTTAGAATCACCACATGCTTTGGCATCTCAACCTCAATAACAATTGCTACTACAATAACCCACATCTGTCATTAATTTAAAATTTGATAATTATTAGATCTGGTCAAGTTATGATGAAGACATATTTAAAACTGACCAAATTGCAAATTTTATTAGTATGTGATATTTATGCGGAACTCGTTCAAGATTTTTAATTCAAAAAGGATTATCAGAACTAGTGACAAGGACTTCGTGCCACAAAACTAAGTTATTGA